CCCCCACACACCACACCCCACACCCCCCCCACACACCACCCACCACACCCCCCACACCCCCCCCCCACACACACACCCCCACACACACCCCCCACACCCCCACACACCCCCACACACCCCCCACCACACCCCCCCCCCCCACACACACCCCCACACACCCCCCCCCACACACACACCCCCACACACCCCCCCCCACACCCCCCACACACCCCCCACCACACACCACACCCCCCCCACACACCCCCCACCCCCACACACCCCCCCACACACCCCCCCACACCCCCCCCACACACCCCACACCCCCCACACACCCCCCACACACACCCCCACCCCCACACCACACCCCCACCCCACCCACACCCTCCCACCCCCACACACCCCCCCCCCCCCCCCCACACACCCCCCCACCCACACCCCCCCCACCCCCACACCCCCACCCCCACACCCCACCCCCACACACCCCCCCACCCCCCCCCCCCACACACACACCCCCCACACACACACACACACCCCCACACACCCCCACCCCCACACACACCCCACCCCCAAACCCCCCAACCACAGGGCCTGGCGCTCACCTGCCGCCCGCACCGGTTGCCAGGCTCCTCCCCCCCCCCCCTCGCGCCGGTTGCCGGTTGCCAGGCCCCTCCCCCCTCGCGCTGGACGCCGGGCCCCGGTTCGGAGGGTCGCGCGGGCGCGGCAACCCGAGCCTCTCTCCGGTCGGGGGTCGCGTTGTGTTTCACCTGTCGCGGCGGCCGGTGGGGAGTGAGGCGGGCGGGCGGTGTGCGTTTGATTTCCTGACTCTCTCTCTCTCTCTCTGTGTCTCTCTCTCTCTCGGTTTTTAAGTTGTTGTTTTTTTTACCCCAACAAAACAAATAAACAAAAACGACCACTCGTTTGCGTTTTTCAGGTCATTTTTAAAAAAAAAAATAATAATTTTTTTTGTGTTACAGGTCACCCACCAAATGTAGGGTCTCAGTTCACTTCGCTGTGAGTTTCATACCAATAGTCGTAATACTTATCATAATAATCCCTGTGTATTTGATACAGCGCCTTATTCTTGTCGTCGTCGTCGTCGCCGTTGCCGTCGGCATTACTATGACCGTCTCCGCGGACGGCGTTGGCTTCGCGGCGCATTCCCGCGAAGCGCTCGGAGGACGACCGGAAGACGCTCCTCCGAGGATCCGCTGCGGCGTCAACCGACTGTAGGTTTCGTGGGCGAAACGCGGCGGCCGATTGCGCGCAGCGGCGATCCTCCCCCGTAGATTGAAGCGACTCAATCTGTTTTTATTTTTAAAGGAATTGTTAACCCCCCCCCCCCGACCCCGGAAAAGCGATCCGCCAATGGACCAACGGCCGGGTTCCTACTCGCTGCCGGGCAAACGGGGGCGTGCGGAGTGAGGAAACCTGCCCAGAGTTTGGCTCTGCCGGGGATCGAACCCAGATATGCACTGAGGTACAGGACGCTTGGGGGTGGGTGGGCGGGCGGGCGGGCGGGGGGAGCAAGGTCGGAGCAGATTGCGCGCGCGAACAAGCTATCCTGCAGTCGGCAGAGAACAGCTCCTCGCTCAAGAGGGGGAGAGGTGAACCTGCGCGGTGCCAACCCAGACCGTCACCCACGTTCCTTTAATGATAAACCGCACCGTTGAACTTTGTGCTTTGTAAACGAGCTGCAATTTTTTTTAATCCGTTATTGGAAGCTCGGACTCCGAGCTAATCCCTCTCTCCTCACCATGGCGGGTGCTCATGTCATCTACTTCATTGTCCTTTGCTTTCTAGTTATCTCATCCGGACAAAGACGCAGGAACGTCAGAAAGCAGGCCAGCCCCATTGACGGAGTCCAAATACAGGAAAACTTTAACATTGACCAGGTAACAAAGGGCTTTGAATTGCAAGATTTCCCAAAGAGACGACATCTCGATTTATCTGGACAGACTTCGGGGTCTGTTCTATTAGAGCAGGTGTGGGGGTGAAATCCGCATCACATCCACTCATAGTTAATATTAATCCTTTCATTTGATATAGCACAGTAGTTACCCCAACGCACACTCTGGGGTTCCCAAGCCTCGGCTCTTGCCAACCTGCACCTAATCCTTTCTGGAATTAGCTGAGCTCAATGCATCCCTCCAGGGGAGAGAGGGAGCATTTCCATTCCAACAAACTATTTCTGGAATTTCCGTGTGTAGGTGAGATACTCTTAAGCAAGGTGATGGATTTCTGCACGTGTCAGCTGAGCAAACAATGAGCACCTTATGACATCTTCTCAAAGCAAAGTGCTTCACAGGATTTTACTGCAGTGCAGTGACTGTGAATGCAGCAGACAATTTGATAATGGCTCCATCCTTTTCCTTTGATGTATTTACTGTCTGTGGTGGTTGCAGGGACAGAACACAGGATAAGAATCAAGTCAACAATGATCAGACATGAAAGGAGATGTACTTTAATCAGACTTTGGCCAGACAAACAGTGTCTCGAGGACTGGACTGTGTGACTGGCCGGAATTTCACATTTTAGCTTTTAGTTTTCAGGCAAATGGTATCTTATTGGTGTGGCGTCTCATTGTACCTATTTGAGATCGAGCAGCTACAGTGTGGAAGCAGTTGTCATGCAAGTTTCCAATGAGAAAGAAACTGTGCGCACCAATACATTGCATAAAATGTGAGTACCCCCAAGACTTTGTTATCTACACTGTGCTGTTAATGGGGCTCTTTCTTAGAATACAGGATTTCAACTCATATAGAGGCTAGTTCAAACATTGCCTGGGCACTAGCATCTTAGAACTCTGGCTCAGTGTGCCAGGTAAGACGTCAGAGCGTATCAGCAAAGCGGGGAGTGCTGCATTGTCGGAGGTGTCGTCCTTCGGCTGAGACGTTAATCTCAGTGCGTTCAGGGGTTCAGGTGGACGTTAAAGATTCCTTCACCATATTCAAACAGGGGAAGGGAATTTCTCTCCTGGCCAACAATCCCCCGTAATAAATTGGTCATTCACATCATAGCTGTTTGTGGGACATTGCCGTGTGCAAATTGGCTGCCATGTTCGCTTACAAGTTACAATCACTGCACTTTATAATGTATGGTGTGAATCGCTTTGGGATGTCCTTCTGACTTGAAAGGCGCTGTATCAAATGTAAGGATTATTATTGGTGGCTGACATTGGATTGCTGACTGGATTTCAGATTGGGTGTCAAGAACGCACTCAAATACAGCCACTTGCCTCTGCATGGGAGACGATAACACACAAGTCTGTCTTCTTGTCTTTCCCAGGGAAGGAATATGTTGGGATATCAAACAGGAGTACAAGAAGACAAGGACCATTGGGAAGTTCTACCGAAAAAGTTTGTCAAGTCTTTTTTATTGTGTTTTTTTTTCCAGCAGGCTTACCATTTGCGTGGTTTTATTTTCCAATTATTTCTCCCCTTCCTTCTTCAAAGCACTGAATCTCAATTCCGTGGGTGTAGCTGCCTCGAAACAGTCACTCTTCAAAGGTTGTGGGTTCAAGGCCCAGGCTGGGGAACTTGGGCTCACAATTCAGGCTGACATCTAGGTGCAGTGTTTGGCAGATTGACACATTGTCGAGGTGCTTCCTTTTGGATGAGACGTTAAACCGAGGTCCCATCTCCGCCTGTTCAGGTGGACGTTGAGGATCCAGTGGCTCCATTCGAAGAGAGAAGGAAGTTTCCCCCTGGTGTACTGGTCAACAAATCCCCCAGATAAATTGGTCTTTCACTTCATGGCTCTTTGTGTGCAATTTATGCCTACAAAACAGTCACTACACTTTACAGTATAACCTGTGAAGCTGTCTGAGGTATCCTCCCAATGTCAGAGGCGCTATATCAAATGCTAAGATTATTAACTTGGGTGAGAGCAAACCCAAATACACAGTCACTTCACGTGACAACAATTACCCATGATATGAAGAGAAATTGCAATGTTTTGATGCTAGAGGACTACATGCAAGGATTATTATTGTCTGGTGAGCTTCCCACTGTTTATCCAGCTTGGACCACCCTACCCGTTAGTGTTAACAGGAGCTGAGTGGGAAAAATCCTAGCTCCAAGTGCTCTCTTCCAAGTCCTGCCAATGAGCGAGGCGGACTGGCCTGGCATCGATAGAGCTTGGAGTCCTGTGGACCCGTCTGGCTCAGGAAATGGTTTGCAGGATTATTAGTATGTGTGAATGTAGGCAGTGAAGGCAGGTTCATTCACTCTGATACAACACATTCTTTTTACAAAGTCACTGAATAGGGATCGGGAGGAAAAAAGTTGAAATCTTTAGCCAGTGAGACCAATTTACCGCTTAAAATTTAAGACTGTTGTAGAATTGTGAAAAAGTCATGAATTCAGTCTTGAATTTGGGAAGCCAATTCCTTTTAAGAAACGCAGAAAAAAACAGCTTTCAATCTGAGACTGAATTTTGGAATATTCCACAATTCTATGTTTTAAAGTAAAATGGTATCACAGGCTAAGACGAGGTGGAATCTGTGGGGCCTTCTGCCTTGGATGGTGAGATGTTATCCCACGTGAAAGGTGCAGTCTATATAAACCCAAGCTGTTGTTGGGGTTCAGGAGCTGTGTATAAGACATGTAACTTTCACCATCCGGTGATCTGATCATCCCCATTGGAACTCTGCGATGCAACCCAGCCATTATCCTGAGCTGAGATCCCTCCTGGCAATTAGCAGGGGTTTAGGCAAGTGTTTGTTTGTTTCCAGAACGGGGAGTGACTACTTACATGGCAGTTGGTGAAACTGATTACAGCAAATACGCAATCATCGCTGTTCAGCAGACTCCCAAACAGAAGCTGACTCTGAAACTCTATGGTGAGTGCATCAGGTGCATGCAGTCAGTTACTGTAAGTCTGTTTTATTTACTCTGTCTCAGGCTGTGAGGAACGATGGGCCATTTGCTCCTGTTCTCTGGTTGCCCCCCAACTCTCTCTCCCCCCCTCTCTCCCCCCCACTGAGCTCCGGGCGTGTCCAGGGCTGCGCAGCCCCTACTGTAATAACTGTAATAACAGTAATAATAGTAATAATAATAATAATAATAATCCCAGCATTGGATACGGCGCCCTATCGCGACACTTTGAGGCGTTCTCCCAGCGCTGCGCGGGACCACGCAGCACAGCGGATACCGCCGGCAGAGAGAGAGCGCAACGGGGTAACGCTGACAGCGCTAAACCTTCCGCTCGACACAACGACCGTCGCGTCGGAACGTCACAAGAGTTTGGCATAAGGTGCAGATCTCTACCGACAATCCGCTTCCCGGTCGCGTTCCGCGAAGCGCTTTTGAGACGCCTCGCGTACCCGCGCCCGGCCCATTTGCGTCCGCCCGGCTTGCGTTGTTTTCTGTCCTTTCCCCTTCCTTCCTCTCCCCCCCCCCCCCCCCCCCCCCGATCCAGAAAGAGTGAAGAAGTTGATTCGGTTGTGTTTGTTGATTGACTCCCAGTGTTATCTGGGCTCAGAATGATACGATGGACGAAGGGGGGTTCCCCCACCTGCCAGACAGCATCTTGCTTGAGGTGTTCCTGCATCTAGAACCCCAGGACGTCTTGGCGGCGGGGACAAGCTGCAAGCAATGGTGCCAAGTGTCCCGCGATGAATTCTTGTGGAAGGAGATATTTTACCGCTACTACAATGTGAATCGCTCGGTTCCCCGCCACCCAGGTTATTCTGAATGAAATGTTTCTTCCCCCAATTCCATATCGATGCTGCAGTTCACCCCGTCTTTCATTCCTCTTAACTGGTGTAATTGAAACGTGCTGCTCTTCGTACATAAGCTATTTCCTCTGCTACCCATTTTACCCCCATTTGATCTCTTTCTCTCTCTGCCTCACCCACGTACACACAACGCAGGAAAACAAAATTAGACAGAGAAAGAAATTGAGAGAATTAGAAAGAACGGCTCACAATGTGGTACAATAAGATAAGTGTTAATAGTAAGCTGTATGGTTTAGCTAATTAAATTCCCAACACTCCCCCTATGAAACACACTTCTCAGTCCACTAGTCTTGGTTCTTGCCAACCTAACGCTCTCCAGAATTCGCTAAGATGGGTGCATCCTGCGGGGAGAGAGTGTGCATTCCATTCCAGACACGGAGAAATTTCCATGTGTAGGTGCATACATATGTGGAATTTTCAATCTAGTTTGGCGATGGATTTCCATACGTGTCTGACACCTGGCTGACCAAAAAAAAAAGGGTAATTTAGTGAGAGTAGAACTCTTGATGGAAAAATTAGGGGCTAAAACTGAAGCCAATTTGTATTTTGTGTGTTGTACACCTCTTGGTCACTTGTGTCACTTAGGACTTGGAGCATTTCATTCCCGGGATTGATTGAGTTCCCAGCATCTTAGGTCTGTAGTCAATGGTTCAATAATAATAATAATAATCCTTGCATTTGATATAGGGTCTTCGAGACATCTCAAAGCACTTCACAGAATATTCTTTAAAGTGAATTGACTGTATTTTGTGGGTGAAACGCGGCAGCCAATTGCACAGCAGTGTCCCACAAACAGTCATGGAATGAGTGACCAACTCATTGAATTTTTAGTGCATCTGGTTATAAGGCTTGCTGGAAGCCAATATTACATACAAAATAATTAGGATTGTGTAGGGATGGGGCTAAATTGAATATATGGAGGGAGCCGGCTAAATTTAATGCAATTAGACTTCAAAGCTAACTCTGTCTTGCCTCTGTTATTGTAGCTGCCACGTCATGGCTCGGTGAGTTCAGGCGACTTTTTGACACGGTTCCGTGTGTGGAGGTCGAGGTTCTGAAGGAGCATCGTGACCAGGTCTTGCACGTCAGCTTCTCTCATAGTGGCTACTTATTCGGATCCTGTTCCAAAGACTGCTTTGTGAAGGTACTGGATCATGCTATGTTTGCACCTGATCACAAAGGCTACAACTACGCAGTCACTACTCTTTAGCACTCTGAGACACTACCCCGTGTGAAGGGTTATATAAATGCAAGTTGCTGTTGTTTACAGAACCCTTTGCGAAGCGCTTTGACATGTTTTTTGACATTTTCGGAGTTATATTAAATGAAGGATTATTATTAGTTTTTTTTCCCAAGGTTTCTTGCAAATATTGTTAATGCTCAGACATAATGTCAATAATCCTTTAATAATTAAATCCACACTTACTTGTAGCACAGGACAGCTCCCAACACCTGAGTTTTCTTTATTTCTAAGTCTCAGTCTGGTTAGCACTCTCACTTCTGAGTCAGAAGATTGTGGGTTCAAGTCTCGCATCACTGAGCTCATTGTCTAGGTTGATACTCCAGTTCAGCACTGGGGGAACTATCAGAGGTGTCATCTGTCAGATAAGACATTAAACGGAAGTCCCCTCTGTCTGTTCAGGTTTGAGGGGTAGAAGTGGGGATTTCTTGTGGTTAAGGTTCAGTGACTGAAGTGACAATGACCGTTGGTGGCGTTAATGTATTGATTTACACTCAAGCTTTCTGAGACGCCGTCTGACATGAAGGGCGCTATATAAATGCAAGCTGTTGTTGAATGTATGCTGAGAGGATTCTTTGGTTTTCCAGGTATGGAACAATGATCTGGAGATTACTGTCTTGCATAGCGCTAACATGCGCCCGTACAACTGGAGTTACACCCAGTTCTCCCAGTTCAATGCCGAGGACACTCTTCTCCTGGTTTCGGGAGTCTACATCGGGCCTCGCAATTCATCCTCTGGTGAAATCGCCGTCTTCAATTTAGGTACTTCACTATGTAGATTTGTGGCATTGTCAAGCATGTTCGCTAACTGCTGCTGTGCAGTTAACAGACTAGATGTGGCACATAGATCAGGACCAGGGCAGAAATATCATAGAGGCTTTGGTTTGCAAATGTATCTTGTTGTTTCCAACCCCTCCCCTCCCCTCCAACAACAACAACCACGGTATTCGAAAAGATGCAGCTCTGTCTCTGGAGAGAGGAAGCGCTGTACACCATAGCCAACCCTCCTGTTACCTTCTCTTAGTTGGTGAATGAATTGTCTCAGTGAGGGGTCTCGAGAGGTCAGCAGTCCAGAAAGTCACAAGTGTCCGCTGCACAGTGAATTTAGAGCTGTAGCTTGTGGCATGGTTAATAGAATGATTTTTAAGTTGCTTTCACATATGCAATGATGATCCTTCCTCAGCCTCGCCCCACCATACCTCTTCTGAGACCTCCTGCAACACCACTGACTCCGTCACTTGCTTCACTCAAAGAACAATGATCTGATGCTTAATGCAACATCCAACATACTTCCAGATAAAATAGCTTCATCACTACTCCATGTTGCATAGTGCTGTGCTGGCCATTTATTCACACCCAAGATAATTGTACTTGTCGCCTCTTGTTTCAGATGACTTCACACTGCTGTCTCGAGTGAGGAACAAGCCCTATGACGTCTTTGGCTGTTGGTTGAATGAAACCCACTTGATCTCTGGCAACTTGTACTGGATTGGGAACATGACCTCTTGTTCTGTTCTCTGGTTAAACAAGGCCTTCCAGGTAAACTAAGGTTTAGTGAACACTGTTCAACTGAACCTTTTGAGTATTATTTACCCTCCAGTATCCCCGTCATGCAGAAGTGGATTCCTGCACTTTTCTGACACTGAATGTTGTTTTGTATTTTGTAAAGAACTAAACCTGGATAAATATAGCCGGTTTCCTTGCTATTTGGTTATGTTTCTGCTGCAGCACGGTGTGTTCACTGCACTTCTCTACACAGAATCTTGAGGCACCTTCTCTTCCTCGCTGGTAGATAGCTTGGATTTACAGAAAGCAAAGGGGAAGAAAAGGTGAAAGTGAATGTGTGAGCACTGACAAAAATAAAGGTTAATATAGTATAGTAGTCGCTGATCAAGAAATAGTGAAAGATGGCTAAAATATACAATGTAAAAGGCAACATGGAAGATGCATTCTGATTACACATTTGTTCAGAGATGCTTCTAACAAAAGATACTCCTTTGTGAGTGCAGCTCTTTCTCTTCAATCTCATTTTGACTGCAGTGAGTCCACACTTTTCTTGGAATTTGTCTAAGCAAGTGAATAACGAGATACACATTTGGCACAAAAAGTGATTGCTTTATGGGCTCTCCTATCTATCTTCCCCCCCACTCTCCTCCACCCACCCCTTGTCCCTTTTGAGATTGACCATCTTAGCTCCCTTTCATATACAAACGTTCCATCAGTTCTCCAGGCGATAAGTAGTGAAAATGTTTAATCTTTCCACGTAATGTCACCCAGATGTCCTGCACAAGCCCTAACCTGTGGACAGTCCAGGTCTAGCAACTGCCTGTGCTTTTTAGTGATGATGGTCACAACTTGAGTGAGATCAAAATGTGACATCAGTCCATGTATTAGCGGTTTGCTGCCACTAGAGATCTCTGCGGTGTGGAAGCACAATACTATACTCCACCGGTCTTAACACATCCAGAACCCTGACTGCAGGGAAGCAATCCCGAGTAGCCAAGTGTTTCTCTATGTCAGCCTTCTCCATTCACCGGACTATCCTCCCGCACCACTCCCTCCACTGCACAAACTTGGGCTAATTGCATGTCTCCTTCTGGAGAGCTTTCAGACACTATGTTCCCCGCTCTCTGGATCTCTCGCCCCAAATCCGTCTGCCTTGTACTTTGCCAAACCCTTCTAAATACCAATCTCTTTGACCGTGCTTTTAATCAATCTTCCTTCTATGAAGGCACTACCTAAATAAATGCAAGATGCTATCTATGCTGCTCTCTGGAAGATGTGCCTGGGAAACATGTTTGTCAAAGGCAGGAAGGGTTTTCCAGGGGTAAATTTTCCTTTAACTGAGATCAACTAAGATGCACAAAATCATAACAATTTTAAAAAGAAATACACCTATTTTCTTTTCTCCCCATCCTAGGATATAGAATCGGAAAATCTAAATGTTGTGAAGAGACTCTTTCAGCTGCAGAACCTGAATGCCAGCACCATTCGAACAGTCATGGTGGCAGACTGCAAGAGGCATGAGACACCCGACTTGCTGCTGGACTATGACGAACAGCAAGCTACCTCAAGCTGTCGAGTCTTCGACCTGGGCAGCGATAGCGAGGATGAAGACGGCAGGAAACCGATGAGAGTATTGGCAAGTGCGTGTGAGGAGAACAAGGAGCTGGAGAGGGTAAAGTGCGAGGGTGGAGGTGATGCCATGACGGAGAATTTACTCCTGGATGACATGCTGACGTTGGATGAGAAGCAGATTGAGGCACGATTTGCAAAGCTTTTCCTCCAGGCCAAGACAAAGGTGTCAGACATTGAGCTGCTTGAAAAAGGTCACACAGAAGAAAAGAAATTTTTGATCTTCACCACAGGCAGCCTTACTTATACTCCACATCAAATAGGTAGGTTTGGCAGTATCAGGTCTAATCCCACTGCTTTCAACAGCCCGATGTCTCTTTAAAAAATCTCTTCAGTAATGCTGAAATCACAACTTGTATTGACATTGGTTTATTTTAACTTCATTGGTCATCTTCACCATTGTTGTGAAGTGTTTTGAGATGTTTGTCCGGTGTGAAAAGCTCTATATAAGTCAAGTTGCTGTTGTTTTGTTAAATATTTCTGCTTCGCTGGCAGTTATATTTAGTGAGCTAAACCCACTGCTTCGCTAATAGATCTACATCCTATACCATCAATAATCTTTTCTCCACTGTTTATCCCTTCCTTGCCCGTTACCTTCCTTGAACAGCCATTTTTATGTATGAACCAAGATGGTGAAATGGGAGGTTATTGAATGATAAGGGCAGCAAAGATTGAATCTGTCCACAAATGCGCTCACTCCTGTGTTGAGAACTGAATTATTTTTCAGGTGTATTTTCTTGTGTACGGTTACAGGTATTAAACAAATTCTGGCTCATCAGATGTCTACAACGGGTCCGGTATTGGGGGAAGAACGAGGCTCAAATGAGTTCTTCGATCCTTTGGACTACACCTTTGATGTCCACGGTCACATTATTGGAATGGGTCTGTCTCCAGATAATAGGTTAGTCTGATCAATCATAGAATCTTACAACACAGAAGGAGACCATTTGGCCCATCGTGCCTGTGCCGGTTCTTTGAAAGAGCTATACAATCAGTCCCACTCCCCCACTCTTTCCCCATAGCTTTTTAAATGTTTTCTTTACATGTTATGTATCCAATTCCCTTTTGAAAGTTATTATTGAATCTGCTTCCACCACCCTTCCATCAAAGACAGCTCTTTCTCGTATAACGGATCAGCTAGCTCTATCGGTAACACTCTCACTCTGGGGATGAAGGTTGTGGGTTCAAGTGACATGTCAGTACTTTGAGCTCATACTCTACGCTGACATTCCAATGCAACACTGCTACAATACACTTTACAGAAATGCGTTGCGACATTTCAACATTATAGATACCATATCAGATGCAAGGAATATTATACAAGTTATGTTGTGCAGGGTTTAAAGGTCAGAGAATTCGTTTTTTTATTTTTAAGTTACAGGTGATTTCTAAATGCATTTTAACAACTGGTAGCAGCACTCCAGTTATCTGTCGGGTTTCCTTTCAGGTATTTGTATGTTAACAGTCGAGCCTGGCCCAAGGGCTGTGTCATCAGCGATCCCATGAATCCTCCACCCATAGCCGAGGAGATCGACCTCCATGTGTTTGACTTGAAAACCATGCGGGAAGTCACACGGACCCTCCGTGCACACAGAGCTTACACACCGAATGATGAATGCTTCTTCATTTTCCTTGATGTCAGCAAGGACTATGTTGCCAGGTAGGTTTCTGAATGAGTTTTGGGAGGAGGTTAGAGAGGAGAGAGAGATGTGGAACTGAGATTCCTACTTATAAGTGGTCGGCAAGAGATTACAGTGACGATATAGAACGATCCTAGCAGTTTTCTGCTCGATTAGGCATGCAATGATTTAATAAACCTTACATTTGTTACAGCGCCTTTCACATCAGGAGGATACATATCTCAAAGCACTGTATGCTTACTGCAAAGGTAGTTACTGTGAATTTTGTAGGTGATTTTGAAAGGAAAGTCCCATTAGCGTGAAGCTGCCTCTACGCGTGAAGTAATGGAAGAGACGGTGGGAGTGAGAATCGAAACTGAACTGTCAAGAAATAACATCAGCACATTGCAAAGCAAGCAAAACCATCGAATGGCAGAAAACAACGAGCGGAAAACAAATTCTAGAAGCAGCAGAAGGGCGAGGTCGTTGTGATATATTTTGCACAATCCTAGTGATATCCTTGGGCCAGAGACAAGATTAATTACCAGTGACTCCAGAAGGGTCTGGCAGGAGTTAGGATTTTCAGAGGAAGCTTGGCGTTCTATATGGTCTAAATGATGCATGATAAAGAAAATACGTAAGCTGCCAGAGTTGTCAGAAACTCTGTCCTCCCTTTGCTGGCTATTAGATTTCACTCCACATTGATGCTGAAAATCCTGAAATATCAGAGAATGTTTCAACTCTGACCACAAGGTATTGTTTGGATGAATAAATTCCTTCAGCCCACTTGATCTCATCCTTCCAGAACACCCACCCTACTATTGTCCCATTATAATATTGAGCAGTTTCTTAATTGAATCCAACATCCTGGCTTCAACCACCCTTTCTGATAACTTGTTCCAATCTTAATTACCCTCTGGGTAAAGAAATATTTCATCTTTCAGCCTCTATGCCCCGAAACTATGGAACTCTCTCCCTCCTTTGCCCCCTCCTTTCCCATTTTGAGATCACGCTTGAAGACCTTTCTTTTTGACTGTGATTACATCTCAGGCTCCGCCACTGTTAAGCGCTTCGAGACGCTACCCTGAGTGAATGGCGCTATATAAATGCAAGTTGTTGTTGTATTACCTGATGTCTTTTATAATAATAATAATAATAATAATCCTTGCATTTGATATAGCGCTTTTCACGTCGGAAGGACGTCCCAAAGCGCTTCACAGAACACACTGTAAAGTGAATTGACTGTAAATTTGTGGGCGAACGCGGCAGCCAATTGCGCACAGCAATGTCCCACAAACAGTCGTAGATTGAAAATGCCAATTTTATTATTGTTTTTGGTTTTGGAGGGATTATTATTAGGCGTGTGGAGTAAGGAAACTTGCCCAAGGTTTCGCCCTGGAATTGAACTCAGGTCTCTCGCTTGCAAAGCGAGTGCTCTAACCACTGAGCTACAGGACTCCACTAGTTATATTATTACAGTACTTTACATAAAGTTTAATAGGTCACTTTTCCTCCACCACTTTTAGTTTCTTTTCTCCTGTTCTCTGTACCTTCCAAGCATTCGACATTCATTTCTTTATTACAAGTCCAGCTGTTGGTCGGACCAATAAACTTGTTAAAAAGGGAACTGAATGATCACATAGGTATTAAAAAATAAGGGATGTGGGGAGAGCGCAAGTCAGTAAGATTCATTTATAAACAATATTGAAACCAGGTAGCATAGATATAGTGTGCAGAAAATGTTAGTTTGAGATATGTTCTGCTGAGCATTCACAGGATGATTCTCAGTGCTGGGAACTGCATCTCCAATTTCCCTCCCATAATAATAATAAGCCTTGCATTTGATATAGCACCTTTCACATTGTCGCGATGTCTCAAAAGTGCTTGACAGGATATACTGTAAAGTGGATTGACTGTATTTTGTGAGTGAAATGCGCCAGCCATTGTCCCACAAACAGCTATGGAGTGAGTGGAGAGAGAACCTCCCTTCTCTTTTCGAATAATGCCATGGGATCTTTAATGTCCACCTGAACAGGCAGACGGGCCCTGGGTTTAACCTCTCAGCCGAAGGACAGCACCTCTGACAACGCAACACTGCATTGTCAGCACTGCATTGGAGTGGCAGTTTGACTGCGTGATTCCAAGTCCCGACAACCTTCTGACTCAGAAGGTGCATTTGTGCAGTTGTAGGGCTGTGCGGTTAGCAAGCTGTTTTTATTTGCACTTAATATGTTGCCTCCCCCCCCTCTCTCTATCTCTCTTTCTCTGCAGCGGAGCCGAGGATCAACATGGTTACATCTGGGATCGGCACTACAATATCTGCCTGGCCAAGCTGCAGCACCAAGATGTCGTTAATTCTGTGGCCTTCAGCTCTGTGGACCAGGAAATGCTGATCACGGCCAGCGACGACTGCACACTGAAAGTCTGGAGGTCCCCACGAGTTGTGCGCATCATGCACGCGAAGCCCAAGCCCAAAAAACTCTCCTTCTTCTGGTTAAACAATAAGAAAAGCCCTTAAAAAAGAATTGTAAGTGCTCTTAATTATTTTTTCCCCTGGCTCTATCCTTCTGAGCACCGAAGCCATTTCTGTTTTTGAAAAGTCCCACGGTTAATTTCCGTCTCTTGCATTTCTTGCCGTATGTATGTATGTATATACGTACGTGGCATTGTTACTGCGTTAATTACTTTCTAAGAACTGCAGGAAAAAAAATAGCTCCCAAATTAAACCTGAATTGAATTTTAAGCCAAAATAATATTACATGCTGAGACCTGAGGAATTTTGGGTGAATTGTTTCCTCTCCTCTCCCCAGCTGCCAGTCTTATTGTTTGCTGTTCTTTCTGCCCATCTAAAAGGCGCTGCCTTTGTGTGTGTGTGTGGGGTGGTGAGGGGAGTTGGGGGGGTGGGTGGGCTCTAGGGTGAACTGGAAGAGTAAGGAGTTTACTGCTCTGAACGTTTGCTGATCGGATGATGCGTTGAAGTGCATGAAGTGCAGCCAATTGCAAAATGTTGGCTCAATTAAGTTTTTCTTTTAAAGGAGAAAGCTGGTTAGCTTCCCCTGACCTGTATGTTTTACCCTCTCCCTCCCAGGGGGCAACATGTCCATCCATCCTCCCCACCCCCCTTTCCCCTATAATAATAATTCCTTATCACGTCTTCGAGACGTCTCAAAGTGCTTCACATACTCCCACATGCCTGTCTTCCTCAGAGAACACTTCTCTCCTACTGTGTAGAACAGCATGTTGATCTCCCATTGAGCAATGCCAACCGGTGCAATCATCTCACCTCCAGTCACTTAATAGTTGAGGAATCTTTGCAAACTGCAGCTGAATTCTGCTGCAGAATGAGCTTTCCACAAGTTTGATATTAGGTTTGGATTTTCTAAAGTGTGGTATCCCACTGTTTATTTTACCAGTTTTGAAATGTCACCATCAGTGGCTGCCAGGACTCTACATTGGAGCCATTTGGTGCAGGGAATCCCTGTTACAGACCCTCTCAATGCAGTGGGGGTATCTTTCGATACAGCGCTGCCTCTCATTGATCTGCTGTGGACCAACACTACCAGACCCTGGAGGCGAGCTACAGGCTTTCTGTGCTAATAAAACAGCCCAAAACTCTAGAGCACTCTTCCTCCAGCCCTCCGCCCTGCCCCTTCCTTCCCCTTCTTCAGACCGCGCCTGAAGCCCTTTCTGTTCAACTACAGTCATCTCCCCTGGCTCAGCATCGTGCTCGGCCACTGTCAAGCGCTCTGGGACGCTACCCTGCATGAGGGGTGCTATGTAAATGCAACTTGTTGTTGTTGTAACCTCTTAAGTTCTTCAATTCAGTCTCAACGCTGAAGCCAATTTTCTATAATGAAATGACCTGCAGAAAACCAGCTTCAAAACGAAAGCTGTATTTAAGAATTTGACAAACCCTGGATGCTCTGAAATGCAAATATAGATCCGGGTGGAATTTCTGCCCCCCTCCCCCCCAACACAGTGACACAAACTCAGTTTATTTTCAGGCAAAGGGTAATTTTCAGTTCTTTTTTCTTCAAGCTGTTCCTCAAAGTCTGCCATCATTTGGCTGTGAATGAATAATATACTGGTTTGAAGCCTCGGTGAATAAGATGTAAAATTGTAGTTTGAATTTTGAAGTTCAACCTATTTAATGACGGCAGCAATCGCTGCAAAGAAGTAGAGGGAAAATTGTACTTTAGAATTAACGCTCAAGTCAATGTACAGACTAAGAAACCAGATTGCCTTTAACAAGCGGGTGATTTGTTCTGTGAGTGTGTTGGCTGGATAGTGACCCTGATGCCTTATTGTACAGGTTAATATTTATGACCATTTTAAACAAAATGCAGGAGGTGGGTGGGAAACGGACATTCAAAGCTGCAGCACATTTTTGAATGTGGCAGCACATCATCACCGTCAAATCCTGACCATTGTCTTTCTCTTCTCTCTTACCCCAAGAGCCAAACCCCAATTCGTGTAACCTTCAATCCCACTGGGAATCTTCCCACTCACTTCCTGTGAATACTGCATGTCAAGTGATGGTAGGTCCGAGCTACGCCAGAAAGCTTGCCAGTATTGTCAATGGAAAGGTTGGGGTTTGAGCCTGTTATATCCAGTAGTGAACCCCAAGACACTGGGTTCCCTTGCTTCTTACTGTCAACCTGCGACCAATACTCCAGAATTAGGTAAGCAGGGTAACTCATCATCCCAAACAGATGTGGAACTCTCGCTAGTTTGGTTTGAATGTTCTTCCACACAGTAATGGGTATCCACTTGTATCTGACCAACACAGAGCAAAGCGGTGGAATCTTTCCAGCTCAAATTAAATTGTGGTCTATCTTGCTGAACTAGCCGACCCAGTGCTTTAAATGTACGCCACACAGCTCTTTAGTCAACCAGCACAGTTCCCGGGCACATTTGCTTGTGCTCCTGTCGTATGATTTAAAGTGCTTTTGAAGTAGTCAGCACTTGCATAGTAACTGCAGCCATAAGTGTAGTTAGTGGAAGAAAGAAAGCCATTCAAAGCGCACCTTACCTGTTAGAAAATGAAAATAAACTAAATACACAAGAATAAGACTGCTTTGTGAAACTGGGTGATGTAGCTATAGTTAATTATTTTTGCTTTTGCCTCTATTTGTGCTGTAATCCTCATGTTTAACTGTACAGTAACCTGTTCCTTTTACTGCTTGGACTGTAAGTGCATCCTCTGCAAAGCAGCAGTTTCAAAAATCTAAAGCAATGGATTGATTTTCTGTCACAGTATGTCACAGGCCAGAGGGACTGTACGTTGTTCTGGTAAAAAAAACTATCACTTGTAAAACAGTGCAACTGTGAGTTATTCCTTTTGATTGAGAAATCCAGACACTTCATTATTAACCGTTCCTTGAAATCCAACTTCAGTCCACTTGTACCTTTCACATCGGGAGGACGTCCCAAGGTGCTGGACAGTGTACAGCATTTCAGATTACCACACGTTCTCCCCTCGTTCTGTTCACATCCAGGAATATAGGAATAGTCAGAGCAAAGCAAGTGTACAGAACACACTCTTTTTTTTAAGATTTTCCAAGGATCATAAATTGTGAAATATAACCTTGAAATATGATTTATTGATACATACATGTAGTAACAGGCTCAACATAACGAGTTCACTGTTGGTTTCAAATCATTTTGGTAAAAAGAATGCAATGCTAAAGGTATTTTCCTGGTTTACGTCTTGCGCTGCTGATAATTAGCAATTAAATCACTCTGACCTTTCCAACTTTTGTAGAGTTGTACAGTGTTTCTGCAAACTATATGCAGCATTCTCAAACCATAACTATTCCGAAAGTCAATAACACACTCACCTCCTCACACTGAGCACAGTTAAAGCTAGCTTAGATAAACAAGAGTGAATTTCCACCTTGATTACATAGTATTTAAACCTTTTTGATAAAGGAATAACAGCGCTGCAAATGAGTAAAGCAGTAACATAAAATAACGAAATCCCTGAACCTCACAACTAACAATACAACTGTGAGCCGTTTACTTCACACTGACGGGAGAAATACAAAATAGCATTTTCTACCCTTCTGTCAATCCTTCTTTAATCATTGTCATCCTACTTTAATTCTTTAAGGCCAAAAATTTAAGCATAGACTGAATACTTTAACATAAAACTCAGAATGCTAAGCTTGTATTCACTCTCTTATTGCTATTATTTCTAAGGAGAGATGATGTTTAGGCAATATTGGTATCATACACAAGTAATAGAAAGCATTTTATTCTCAAATTAATCTGTTTGTGTGAACTATGTAAATGTTCAGATTATAATACAGTATAGTTTTTTGTGTCTTTATGAAGCGTTATTTTTTGCTAAAAAGCAAAAATTGACATAAATTGCCATATTTCAGACCAGGAAAGTCAAGTGTAGAATCAGGTCTGTAAGTTGTTTCGTAGTTTTTGACTAAAAGCAAAAGTCATATTTTCGCACTTATACAAAGATATTCCATGTCACCACCCGCTGGGTGGACTTGAGAGTATTAATCGCCTACTCTTACTTCCCACAGTGATTCTAACCAGCTGTAGTGACATTCCTCCAGTGCAATTCATTGCCATTCATTGGCGGTCACTACACCTCAACATACCAAACAACAGATTCCATAATTTTATGCTGCTCACAGCTCTGGACTGAATCATGCAGACTTGAGCTAGTCCATTACTGGTAAGAAGGATGTGCACTGCGCTTTGCTCTGGATTTCTAGGCAGATTCATCAAAACAACCAGTGTGAACAGAATGCTTCTCACAGATTCCCGCACTGTTCTGTATATTGTCAGCTATCTGTGCAACGTTAACATCTTTAGCTAAACAAGGTAAGTGAGAATCCAATCAACGCATAGGAACACTACATGGCAAGCAAATCATTCTCTTCACTGTCCGAAATTTTTTTCAATTCAACTTTGGTAATTCTATCTCTTTTACCATATTTGACATGAGGCAAAATGCAGCTCATTGTATGCGAGGAGGTGGAGGGATTACTGTCCCAGTGAGCATCTCCTTCAGACACATTCTGATCCAGTCATTTTCTATTCCACAACAAATGTAAAGAAAACTATTTTGTTCCCGCCCCCCCCTTCTATCCCCCCACCCACACCACCACCAAAATAAATTCTACCACAAATGTATTAATCCCCACTGCACGTGAGATTATTAATCGTGAGATAGTCTGATACATGTTCTTCAGACTCAACTGCTGAGAGCAGAAGAATGTCCAACACCAATTAGGTTATCAGGATGACAGTGGAAAGCATCCTGTCCCCACTGTCCTCAAGTCCTGTTGATGAGCTAGGCAGGCTAGTCTATTATTAACTGCTCTGGATGCATGGTTCAGTATTGATTCACACCAGAGTTGACCCAGTCAGTGCATGTCTCAGGCCTTGTACCTAGGAACCAAATAGACCGCACTACCTCATCCACTCTCTTTCCAGACCCTTATTCCTTCCTTTCCTCCCTCCCTGAACTCAACACTAGAGGAGTTCTGGCCAACCTGTTGGCCATTGGCCGGAAGTGGCTCATCCCCCCCACTGAGCACTCACACCAGTCTAGGCAAGTTGTGTTTGATAGGGAGCCTGTTTCCCATTTTTCTTGATCGAAAATTTCTTGATTTATGCCATAAAGACCATTTATTTTGTCAACGGACCATGGAGGCTAGCCACCACAGAGATTGAGCGAATACCGCTGGATCTACGCAGACCAAATACCATCAGAATTGCACAAGCCAAACATCATTTTCCAGCAATCTGCTCCACACAAAACTGCCAGACCTACCAGCAAATTTCTATAGCTCTCGTTCCTTCCAACTCCCAGGAAATAACATTGAGGAATCAACAACCCAACAGCCCTTCATTGCAGCATTTATGGGTGAGCCAGAGTGAACAGCCATGGTCTATTATGATGGTGGAGTGGGTGGTGTAGTTGGGGGGGGGGGGGGGGGAGGTGGAAAGGGAGAAAAGAGGGAAAGAGGGAAATCACACAAGGTGAAGAACAATTGTTAAACCAGGATCTGCCATCTGAAACACAGGAAACCCCTGATAACTCATCAAAGGGAAAGGGTTCAGTGACTAGTTACTAGAAGTGACGAGTAAGGCATATGTATAAATATATAAATAAATGCGGCCAGGATATTGAGGCATGAGGACTTAACTGCTAGTGACGAGTAAAGCCAGGGTAGAGTTATCAGTTTACTCCGTACTATTAACTCTAGGAGAACAAGGTTTAAGTAATTTAACCAGCATTCTCTCACTGTGCTTACACGGATACTATGGTCACTGCCCAGTGCACCTGGGCTATTCAAGCTAAGACAACAGCAGCAGATTCAGTTTACCTCCTCTTCTCCCCCTCCCTCCTGCCCTGCAACCTGCAAGCCACAAATTCCTAACAGCCCAAAGCTTTTAAAATTCATCCAACTCCCAGCGTTTTGTCTCACTTGACGGTTTGTTGGGCAAAGTCCATCCCAGCCCAAGAAATGATGGTGACAATTGTCAGAGTGAACGTCACTCTCGGTGTCAACCTACAAAGACTGAGAGGTCATTTGCAAGTAAAGGAGTTGTTTTTTATTAAACAATCTGAAAAGAGTACTCTGTCCTACAGTATTCCTCTGCAAGAGTTTTCCTGGTGCCTTCATCTCTACTTCAATGCAACACTGAGTGTTGGTGCAGAAGCCATTCTGCTGAAGATATAGTTTGGTGTAGTGGTGCCCAGTGCCTCTCCCCTCCACAAGCTCTCACTGCTACTCGCCAGAGCTCCACAACTTTTCAGTTTCTTAACCATACGAAAATAAAACCCAACAAACTTATTTAGGGCTAGCAGTGGATCAGAAGAATAACCCTCATTCAGGCCAGCAACCATTAAGCAGCCTCAGGCTGCATGTGCTTCTGTCTTATGATCAAGTCTCCTCCCCTGCCTCACTGCTCCCCCTGGACTTAGCTGGAACGTCCCTATGGTCAATAGTATTGTATGAATCTTTGACCCAGTCTCAGCTGCTGGCCCATCAATATCTCTAGCCTGGTCCCACCCTTAGCCCCTCCAACCACACCCACCTTCAACTCGTGACCCACCTGCCCTCCCCACCTAACCATACAACAACAACTTGTATTCATGTAGCATCCCTGAGCGCTCAGCCCAACCCTGCACACACTCGGCACTTGTTTTACTGTGTGTTTTTAAAAATATATATTATTAATAATAACAGAATATGGATTATATGGATAAAAGAATCAAGGGGCAAATTGATTCATATAACTGCCCATGCCGTACTATAACCTTTCCCAGTGTCAATCAGCCATTTACGGCTGGTGACAGTCTAACTAACTAGGGCCTGAAATTCCACTGGCGTTAAGACCACAGCCTTCAAATTCCGGATCATGCGGAATTAAATTCAGTATCACTTCGGAAGCCACTTTTCTGTAGTCCTTCAGAACCGGCTTCCGAATGCGGACCTCTTTTCACATTTTTCTCCAAATTCTGCACAATCTGAAATGCTAAGACCGCCATCTTAAAGGTTAAGGCAAAGTGGAATTTCAGGCTTCAGATTCTAAGTTCCCAAACTCATGATGATTTTCTGAGACGTGGAGGTATCGCAGTATTCAATTAATGCTTTCAAATCATCTTTCCTCCCCCTCCTTCCCACCACCACACACACTCCTTTTAAAGTCAGTCACCTCCACGGAACTCACTACGACCAAGGCTGAGGAGATTTGCAGTCCACGTATATGGTGGGGGACGAGCAACTTTGGTTTTACTCTCGGAATCCATCAGTGGGGGTGGGAAGCGGGCGAGTGGGGGAGGGGGCCTTGCTGCTTGTTAGTGGCTGGGTTAAGCATTATTTTCTGCCCAGACTTTTGATGTCTCTTTGATCCAGATATAATATGGTCCACAGTGTCCTGCAGAAATTTATTCATGTTACTTCGAGCCAGGCTGGGAGTGCAATGGGGGAAGCAGAAGTCACTCGTGCACCAATCAGCAAAACTGGCAACTTTTTCCATTCCCTTTGGATTCCACATTGCAGCGAAACATTTGCTAGTTCTACCGATTGGCGGACAAATAGACTCCCACCCTCAGTCGTTCCTCTCTTCTCCCCCGAGCACTGTCTTGCGTGCACGCCACTCTCCATCTAGTGAGCGAGCGGAGACCTGACCAAACCCCAAGCTAAGTGCCAGGCGGCCCCGAGCTTCCAATGAGATTCCCTACGCTGGAGGGGAGCCGTGAGCTGTTGGCATCGTCAGCAACATCTCTGGGGAAATGGAGATGGGAGACATCTCTCTCTCTCACACACACACACAGACACACACCCACACCAACACACACACCCACAAGTTTGAGGCACATCCACTGTGCTTCCTGATTTTAAGCTGATGGTTCTGCAGTGTCCAGAACTTTCTGTTATAAGCACTTCCCGTGGTTGACGGGCCACTCCTGCAGATGAAGCACCTTCCGTGCTCAGCAAGGACTTTTCCTAACCTTCGGTCACCGAGAGAAGCGGCCACTTCAACCGCTGGCTGTGCTTGCAACCAAAAGTCCTGTCCAGAGAAGAGGCACCTCTCAAACATCAGGGGAAGAGAGACTGCTATGAGGAGCACTCTTCAGAAGGAAAGTAAAATCACTCAATGTCGCAATTCATAACAACCGGCCTCACGAACTAAGCGCACGACACAATGTTATCTGGAACCACATCTGTATTCAGCACGCACTGCCTCACATGCATCCTCGCACTCTGCACACCACATCTGTATTCAGCACGCACTCCCTCACACGCACTCGTGCATTCTGCACACCCCATATGTTATTAATCTAACCAGCGGCTGGATTTCACTGGCAGGCAAGCTAGCAGGCTCTCAAAAGCTCGGAAACTCACAAATGTTCCTCTCGATTGCATTGCTACTCACTCCCACTGTTGGTGGGATTCCCAGGTCGCTGACAGTGGGAACACGGGTCACCTACAGCGAGAACACACATCACTGGCTGTGAGATCACAGCTGACAGACCATAGCTCACTGATGGCGGGATCACAGGTCCGTTAAATCCACAATAGCTTTAATGAAGATGGTGTCGTCCCTTGTGTAGCTGTTCTTGCTCTCCAGCTTGGTGAGAGGGCAGAAGAGCGGACACCCGCTGGCGATGTTCATGTCACCCACGGGTCTCTGGAACGAGGACGAGGAGACATCCGGTCTGAAGGCATCGATCACGTGCTCACGGTTGTTCTGGTCCATCAACATCAAAGTCACCTGGGTGGCGGGCGGGGAGAAGAAAAGCCATAGTTAAGCGCCTTGGGACGTCCTCCTGACGTGAAAGGCGCTTTATAAATGGAACCTTGTTGTTGTTGTTAACTCGGACGCCACAAAAATATAGCTCAGGTCTGCTCAAACAACAACAACTTGCATTGATGTAGCACCCTTCACACCGGGCGGGGTTTTGCAGCGCTTTTAAAGTGAACTGACTGTATATATCATTGTGGGCAAAATGTGACAGCTAATTGCACACAGAGGTGTCCACGGACAGTCAAATACTCTTATACAACAGATCCTTTTGCTTGTGAGGCGAGCGTGCTAACCACTACGCTACAGAACTCCACAGATAGCTGGGCGTTAATCAAAGCCCCACTGGACAGAGATCAACGGCCTGAGGACAGTGTTGGGGCTGGGATGAAGAGCCAGAGGTGCAGATGTAGGACAGTGAACCTGGTGGGTAGAGGAACGGCTGGAACGGGCTTAAAGGCACAGGTCCCAGGATGAAGGTGTTTTGGGACATAGAGGAGTCTACAGCTCTGCCACCCAGTGATTTCCAGGCTGTGGAGAGCGCGGGTCGAGGCGATTGGAGCGAGATTTTAATGTTGGACCACACTTGGAAAGAAAGATCTCTAAAGAAAACTCACCTTCTGTTTAAAGGGCCACCTCAACAAGGCATCGTAGTTCCCCCTCATAACCACGAAAAACAGGGACACATGAGATCCCCGGCCCACGCCATCGCCATTCAGGTAAATGCGGAGACACATCTTGTAGCCGTACTTGCTCGTGTAGAAAGCTGTGGTAGAATTGGCAGAGTCTTAGGGTCATAGTGGAACTACAGTCATATTGTAGGCACTGTTAATCATTCAGTAAGGAAAAGTTGCACTTCACCATTCAGACAGAATTATAACTGGAATCCCCTCTCACAGCCCTAGTCGGGCCTTGCCTAGCTGATCAGTAACCCTTTCATCTCCAGCTCTGAACGTTGTCCGCCAACCATCGACTCTGTTACAGCCTCTGCCTTTTCGTTTAGTTTTTCGCGAGATTACGATAGCTGTCGTTCCCTGGATCAGTTACGGGTTGGAAACAGCCATGACTCTCGCTGGAACCAGGCATTCTTCCCACTCAGCTCGAGCTGACCTTGCAAACCGAAGCCCTAACAGGTTGGGTGGTCCTCACTGAACAAGCATCGGAAAGCTCGTCAGACAATGTCAGTCTATGTAGTTTTAGCCAGTTAAACTCCAACAGGACTCCCAAACACACACTCTGGGGTCCCCAAGGCTTGGCTCTCGCCAACCTGTAACTGATACTCTGCGGAATTAGGTTGTGGGGGGGTGGGGGGCGGCGCGCGGGGGCGGGAGGGGGTGTCGTGCACATTCCATTCCAGGGAGGAAGAGAGCGCACATTCCATTCCAGACTCAGACAAAATTCCATGTGCAGGTGGCACACACATGTGGAACTCTTGTCTGAATAGTTTTAACCGCAGTGATAGGTTTTCACATGTGTCAGACACCCGGCTGACCAAAAGACTTCAGAGAAAAACTTTATCCACGGGTTGACGAGTGAGTAAGGAGAAATACGTTTAAGATCATTATCAAAATAACAAAGGATTCGTCTTTGTTTTTTTTTTACAGAGGCGTATAAGGACGTGGAACAAACTATCAAAAACTCTGGTTAAAGCAGTGACCGCAATAGGAGGGGTGTGGGTAAGAGGACTTTGTGGATAACCCGTAGATTCTGAATTTCAAACAAGTTGACCCGGGCGGCAGGCAATGCCAATTAACACAGATCTCCATCGGAAGAGAACACGAAGGAAGCGGGTAACATTTTGCCAAAGCGAAATAGGTATTTGTTAGGTCAGGGAATTAAGGGATACGGGGCAAGGGGGCGAGTAATTGGACTTGAGGTACAGATTAGCCATGACTTATAGAATGGTGGAACACGCCCGAGGGGCTGAATAGCCTCCTCCTGTTTCTGTGTTTATATGAGGCAGTGTTCCCGGGGCGGTCCCCCAAATGGCTTTGAGAAGCTGCTGTTAATAACCTGGGGAGAATATGGCTGCTGCCCGGCCCGACATGGCCTCCTGCCGCCTCCGGTTGAAATCCGAGATCTTCCAAATGAACACCCCATCATAGGTGATGTACTCGAACACCTGGACCTGCAGCTCCAGCTCAGCGATGGCCAGGTCCTTCAGAGCTGCCGCTCGCTCCAGCTGCCGGACCTGAGAGGAGAGAGAGAGAGTGAGAGAGAGTGAGTGCTTGATCATGGGCTGAGAAGGAGCGGATAATAATAATCCTTGCATTTGATACGGCGCCTTATCACGTCGTTGAGATGTCTCAAAGCGCTTCACAGGATATACTGTAAAGTAGATTGACTGAGTACTTTGTGGGCGAAACGCGGCAGCCAATCGCGCACAGCAGTGTCCCACAAACCGTCCTGGATTCAGTGACCAAATTATTTATTTATTTTGAAGGGATTACTAACCCCGGAAAAACGATCTGCCAATCGACTAAAGACCAGGTTCATTCTTATTGCAAGGTAAACAGAAGCGGGTGGAATAAGGAAACCTGCCTAACGTTTCACCCTGCCGGGGAATCGAACCCAGGTCCTCTTGCGTTCGATAGTTAAGCAACTATCTAACAAATACCTATTTTGCCTCGGCAAAATGTTACCTGCTTCCTTCACATTCTCTTCCGATGGAGATCTAACCACTGAGCTACAGGACTCCACTGGCTGAGAGGGAGCAGATGAGCCTGAGCATCACGCTTCAAATCTGCTAGACTCACTTAGGGGATATTGTTTCAAGCCAAACTGAAAAATCCATGCAACCCACCCAAGCACGGATATTCCAGAGATTTTTGGGGGAATGCGCACTCTCTACCTGGAGAGACCCATCCTGCTGACTAATTTGGGAAAGTATTAGGTGCAAGTTGGCCTCGACTGTGAGCTCCAAAAACTGCTGGAGTCTGACCAGCTAAAGCCGCATATCTTGCCATTGATATCACTGTCCGGCAAGCTTTCCCGCTGGTTGTCCAGCTCGGACCACCCTACCCATTAGGGTTTGGGCTTGCAGGGTTAGCAGGAGCTAAGGGGGATGACTTCCTGTCCCCATCAACTGGTCTGCTCTTCCTGCCGAGGAGCCAGGCTGGGCTGTGTTGTCATCAGCAGGATCCAGATGCCAGTATTATTATTATTATCATTAATAATTATATACAGTAATTAATTAATAACAATTATTACTCTTAATAATAATTCTCGCTGCAAAGTTTTCTTAATAGTATTACTAACAATGATATAATTCATAATTACTTTTCTCAATAATTATCCTTGCGTTTGAAAAGAGCCCCTAGACATCTCGTTAAAGTGCTCGGCGGAGAATTGCTGTGAAGTGAAGTGACTGTTATTCTGGCTACCGTTTCCCCTACATACCTTGGCCTGTAGAGCCTCGATCTTCTCTGTGTCCAGCTTGTGCTGCTGATCATAAGCGGTCATGGTCACGGACGCCCTCTCCACCTCGCGGTTCAGGACACAGACGATGTTTTCAAAGGTTCCGATCTTCAGCTCGACGGTTCCGCACCGCCTCAGTATCTCCTCCACCTTCTGTCGTCCAGTGACAAACTGCTTCTCCAGCTCCGTGACGGGGAGGGCCCCAGGCAAGTCCCTGGCTCGCTGCCCCAGTGAGAGGGACTGAAAGGGACCCAGGATTTCCTCTAATTCTCGCACGGAGCTCAGCATCCGGCTCACTTTGTCTCCAGCCTCCTTCACGCTCTCGGGCTCCAAGCTCCGCACTTCCTGCTTTGTATCCAAGACACTCTGTAGCATCAACTGCAAGTGCTCCAGTATGCACTGACTCTCGTGCTCCATCAGACTCTCCTTTTCAGCCTGAGGAAATCAACCGAGATACTTAAGATCTGCAATGTTACAGCTTGGAAGAAACAGGCTAAAGCACTCAGCAGCCGAGGGTCTGCCACACGCCAAGATCCCATTACCATGCTTAAGAGTCTCCAGACTTCGCAGCATTTGCTGTAAAGTGTTCGGAATACATGCAACAGCGGGAACCAATTTTTTGTATTGTGGTGTCCCACAAACAGCCATGAAGTGAATGGCCAATGTTACCTGGAGGATTATTAGCCAGGACACCAGGAGAAACTCCATTCTCTTTTCAAATCCTGCCACGGGATCGTAACGTCCTGAAGGGGCAGGTGGTACCTCAGTTTAACGTCTCATCCGGAGGACGGCACCTCCAACAACGCAACACTCCCCCAGTCCTGCACTGGAGTGTCAGCCGAGACTGTGAGCTGAAATCCCTGACGTAGGGCTCGAACCCACAATCTTCTGACTCAGAGGCAAGCGAGTGCTAGCAACTAAGTGAGGCTGACACCTGTAGGTTAAGCTTCAGGTCTGACAGATGTCAGAAGAAATCTCAGAAAACGAAAGTTATCATCAGGCTTTACTTTCTCAATCCGAAATCAGAATCTCAAGCATCTCTGTAAGCTCGCCACCGCAACCGCCTCTGACCTAGCCTTTCCTCGTTCCTCAAACCCAGAAGATCAACGACAGCAACACCAACTTGCATCTACATAGCGCTCCGGAATGCTTGATCACACACGATGCTCTCATCCGTACTTCCTCCGTTATAACAGCAACGGTTTCCTTTAAGAGCTGGATTTGTTTTCCAGCTTCCACGATTCCCGATTCGACGCTTTGGGAATCTCACCAACTAACCAAGTCAATCCGACATTTGGGAAAACGGAAACGACAACAAAAGCAGCAAATCTAGAATTCCATGTTTAAGATTAAACCTCCGGGCCTCAAACCCATCCAATTCCCCAACACACCCCACCCGCCCACCCCCAACTCCTCTCGGGTCAGGCCAGTCAACCACCCCCACCCCCATGCACGATGCTGAGAATCACTAGTTTCAAGAAACTTACATCCAGTCTTCAGCCCATCAGCTCCAGGCTTCCCTCCACTCGCACTGTTCACCTAATTACTGCATAGCTGAAACTACAACTCAGCTAAATTATTGCAGCTTTGCGATTAGAAATGAAGACAAGGTTAGCGGCTGTTTTCCCAGGGAGGGGGAGGATTCACCTGCGCACGCTAATGGATTCTGAAATAACTTCCCACCATCGTCATCACACGGCAGAGAGAATCGAGACTGACCAGGTCTGGGTGAAAAAGCTTCCTCCAGTTCATTAACACCAAGAACAGAGAACAACTGCACCGCCAAACTGGTTGAGCACTCACTCACAACCCCTTATATCTGAAAATCTCCCGAATGCCCCTTCTCCCCTCCCCCCCACCCCCTCCATCACCACCCCCGGGAATAGTACAGAGTAAATCACCCAGGAAAACACCAGGGACGCCCCCCCCTGCCCCCCCAATCTCAAAAGATTACCTGGTGCTTCTGAGTGCAGCAGAGGAATTCCCTTTATGACTGAGAAGCATTTGGAATTTCCTTTATTTTTTAATGTTAGTGGCACTATTCGAAAAGAGAAGGAAGTTTCTCTCTCTCGGTGTCCTGGCCGACACCTCCCTGGATAAAATTGGTCGCTCACCCCATGGCTGTTCATGGGACACTGCGTTCGCCTACGTAATACATCGTCACGGACCTTTTGATAAAATTTCCTGCAGTTCAGTGCCACCTTAAATTTGCGAGACCTGACAGGCTAAGGCTAGTGGACCTGGGTGCTTCTCGATACAGATTCTTGGAAACCATGGGGAAGTTACCAGCTGCCTGATTATCAGGCGGGGGCAAAACATTAGCCATGTTTCCTAACTCCACATGCCTCTGTTTACCCAGTCGCAAGTAGGAACCGACTCCTCTCCCCACCCACACCCCCCACCCCCGGCTCAGGTGCTAAACCAGCCGTGCAAAGGTGACGTCCTTCGGATATGAAAGGTGCAATATAAATGGAAACTGTATTGTATTTCTTAACCTAAGGAATCGGATTCACACTGATCCAGGAAACCCGCTCTATCCTGGATCTGCTTCCGGAGTTGAATTCCCACAGGGTTCGTAAACGGGATTACTTAAGCAATCCTATTCACAGCAGATTCCCTCCAGGATTGTGAGAGCAGCCTGCTACAATTCTCTTCCTCCCAGCAGCTTGAAGCAGATCTTTATCTCAGTTCCAATGCACGACTATCCCCTTCCCCCCCCCCCACACACACGCACGCATAACACTTGCCGATGGCTTAATAGTCAAACTGACAGAACACAAGACTGGAAGTGGTGCAACATATGTTAGAACGTTGCAGTGTGGATATTGGTCACCTCTCCAGGGTCGACAAGGTCGTGAAGTGTGCGGTTCACACTGTGCTCAACTCTTGCCTCGTAGTGTACCATTTCACTGTGGAGTCCCGTAGTGTAATGGTTAGCGTGCTCCCCTTGCAAGCGAGAGGACCCGGGTTCAATTCCCGGGCGGGGTGAAACCTTAGGCAGTTTTCATTACACCACACGCCTCTGTTTACCTAGCAATAAAGTAGGTACCCCGGTTGTTAGCCGATTGACGGATTGCTTTATGGGGGGCAATAAACCTTCAAAAAAAAAATTGGTCACTCAATCCACGACTGTTTGTGGGACACTGCTGTGTGCAATCGGTTGCCGCGTCTCACGCATAAAGTCCGCAGTCAATTCACTTCACAATATATTCCGTGACGTGTTTTGAGTCGTCTCGACAACGTGATAACACACACCATATGAACGGCAAGGATTCTTATTTTTATTACAACTCCTGTAGCACTTACTGTAGCATCACAGCCAATTGCGCAGAATCGACATGGCAGCTTCACTTTCCCGCACCCCCGGAGATGATCTGTATACTGTGGAGGGAAGGAAAGTCAGTTGGAAAGTTTGGAGAGCTTGGAATTTCCCCCTTTAAAACTCTGAATGGAAGCCGTTCAGTCATACGCAAAACCCACTTCCTGACTCCAGCTGCGTTACTCTTTCACTCCGGACTTTCACTGCCGGCGAAACCAAACAGAGGGAAGTAGAGCAGACACGGCTGGATCCAGGCTGTGATCTCCATTGTTCTGCGATCACAAACCCCCGGTTTTTGTGTTCAGGTGCAGACAGATGACGCAGGGTTTCAGGGTACAAAAAATCCCTGGCAAAACTGCCTCATGTCCACACGGCATGCGCAGACAAAACACAAACCCAGCTTCCTGACCCTGGAAAGTTCCTCTCATCGTCTCCGTCTTGCAAATTGCCGGGAGCTTGATCAACAGCAATCAAATCACGCTGGCAATTAGCGAGTTACCGGGTTTTCTCTACGTGTGGCTTAGGTCTTTCAAAGGGAATCACCCCTCCCTCTCCTCCATCATCTCCCATCCCCCATCACTCTCCCCCACCCCCGACCATCCCCCCCTCTTCGCCCGCCCCCAACCCCCGCACCCTGCCATCCAAGGCTAAAGTTAGTTTTCCTCAATTGGAGCCAGGTGAGCAGTTGACCCCAGAAGGCCAGTGGAACACCAACAAGTTGCCTTTCAAGTCAGGAGCACAACCAAAGGCACTGAATGATGGGTTATGGGGCTATGAGAAGAGGCCAGGCGGGGGCAATGACCTGCCCAAAAACGGGGGGTGGTGTGAGGGGGTACAGGTAAGCAGGAACTTCTCACCACAGTGCTAACTCCCCTCCCTTACCCTCACTCCTGGCATAATGATTTAGTGCAGTAAGCGTGACGGTGGGATTGGCGGGTCTGGGTTTTGTTTGGTGGCAAAGGCTGTGTCTGGCTCAGAGTAGCCCAAGATCACAGACATGGGGGTGGGGAGGGAGGGAGGGAGCTAGTAGTTAATCATTCTTACAGGTGACTCAGGTTGTGGTCAGGGTTTCAGCAGTGTGGCCGCAGTGAGCAAAGGGCACCTGTAGGGGCTTTGGTCGAGATGGAATGATGTGATCCTATGGGCAAACGAGACCAGACCAGGCCTTACGACAACAACAACTTGCATCTAGGTAGCGCCCTTCACGCCCTTACCTTTTCACGTGGAATTTTCCTCTTGCCGCACCATTCGCAGGTTATCGGGAATTTAGGGCAGATTTCGTCGTGAGCCTGTGTAAACACAAGGAGAAATCAGGAGGTTTCATTCTGCATCCTGCCTGCGTGTTTGTTAACGGTAAGTGAAACGATTACTGCCACAGCCACAGGTGGCGGTTAGGGTTAGGGGCGAATTCCGTCTGAATCCCAAGACATCCCAGCTCTTCGGGACGTGAAAGGCGCTCTACAAATGTCATTGTATTGTACTTCAAGAGGTGCCGTCCTTCAGATGGGCCATTAAAGCCAAGGTCCCGCCTTCCTGTTCAGGCGGACGTTAAAGATCCGATGACACTAATGGAAAAGGAGCAGGGAGTTTGCGGATGTGGGCGAGAGGGGAGGGTGCTTAGGTTGCATCTTTAAGTTAAGCTTCAGCTTTAAGTGAAGCTTGGGAGCTTTAAGTTAAGCTTCAGCTTGCCTGTGAAGTAAAAGCAATTCAGCATCTTTAAAGCCTTTAATAATACTCGTCATTATCATCACCATCATCATTCTTATATTTGAAATCAGTCCTTATGTTGCCAACTCGTTTCAAAGCGCTTCACAGGGTTTATACTGTAAGGGGTAATGACTGTGTATTTTGTAGGCAAACGCAGCAGCCAATGTGGTCACAGTAACATCTCACAAACAGCCACGGAGTGAGCGACCGGGAGAGAGAAATTCCCTTCTCCTTTCAAACAGTGCCCCGGGATCTTAGACATCCACCTGAACAGGCACAGTCGGGACCTGGTTTTGGGAGATTCATCCAAAGGAACGGCACCTCCGACAATGGATCGCTTTCCCCCCCACACCCCCCCCTCCCCACCCCCAGCACAGCATTGCATTGTCAGAGGTGACATTCCTTTGGAGACTTTAAGATCAATACACGTTCAAAGTCCTGAAGTGCGAACCCACAACCTTCTGACTCGGAGGCGAGAGTGCTAACCCACCGAGCCAGGCTGGCATTCCCCTCGGAAAGTAAACGGGTTCAAAGCCTGCACCGCTCACCTTGATCTCTTTGTAATGGAAAGAGGATTTGCAGAACTTGCAGTTCAGGCTGCGTTCTAAGCACTCTCGCTCCAAGTGCCGGGCCAGATCCACCTGCCTCACCAGGCTCCTGCAGGCTTCACAGTGCACCTGCATAAACTCACACCTTCCCTCGTGAGTGGTCTGAAATGAGAGGAGAAATTCCAAATGAAGGGTCGTCCCTCCAGCAGGCTGTGTGTGCGTCTGTCTGTCTCTCTGCCTAGCTCAGAATTGACACACAACACCACACCACCGGAGGAATAATACAGTAAACCTCTCCTAAGTCTGTGCTTATAAATCGTATAATTGACTAAGTCGTATATCTACCCAAGTCACGATCAGGAGTTTATATTCTAAATGATAAATAATAATCCTTGCATTTGATACGGCGCCTTATCGCGTCTTTGAGACGTCTCAAAGCGCTTCACGGGATATATTGTGAAGTGAACTGACCGTATTGTTTTGCGGGCGAAACGTGGCAGCCAATTGCACACGGCAAAATTCAGCAAGCAGCCATGATGCGAATGACAACAACAACTTGCATTTATTTAGCGCCCTTCACGCGGGGCAGCGTCTCGGAGCACTTGACCCCATTTGGTCGTCACTGGCTACAATGTCGGCCATTCAGAAAATGCTACGACCGAACAACAGAGGTGAAGATGCAGATGAAACCCAATCACTCGCTGGTACAAAAGCCTTGGCAACTTTAGCTTGAAAGGAAGATGATCCACTTGAAGTGAAAGGACAATGTAAAGGCAGAGGTGAGAGCGTCTATTTTACCAGGAAAGAGGTGAGGTGGAGCGGTGTGGGAGGGAGGGAGGAAGTATGAAGGATCAAAACCACAGATGGAAGAATGCCCAGAAATAGAAGCTGTTTGCAGTGATGCGTGAGGATGAAAAGCAATCATTCACAGCAGACAAACAACGGAACATCTGGCAACCACTGACAGCAACCACACAATTATTTATCAGGGTGACCATAACTAGCCGGTCCCCGCAGCTCACCGGACAAGCCAGCATCTCCGGGAGAGCCAGCCGTCAGGCTGAAATCCATCCCATCGAGAGATCCGTGTGCAACAGTTGCTGTGCAACTTTGGTAAGGAACAAGAACAGAATATTCCCTCTGGTGAGTGGTCCATTTAGTTTGGGGATAAAATACACTGTCGGACAGAGTTCAACAACACACTGCATTTATACAGCGCCTTTCACACTGGGAGGACGTCCCAAGGCGTTGGACAAAGAAGGGTTTGCACCTCAGCTGCAGGTTGGGATCAGGGAGGGGTGGATAGCAAGGGGGCTGGGGTCTTGAGACGGGCTTTGAAGGAAGTAAGGGAGTGGACGAGCAGAGGGGCTCCGGGATGGAGTTCCAGAGGGTGGGGGCAGAAAGGGTGAAGGCACGACAGCCGATAGTGGAGCAGGCAGGGCGGGGGACGTGGGACAAGCCAGAGCCTGCAGAGCGGAGGGAGCAGACAGGTTGGTGAAGTTTTCCAAGTTTGCAGAAGCAGGGTGGAGCGGAGAGATTTAGCCTGTGTCTGGCTGGTTTACGTGGCTGCTTATCAACGACAGTGGCTTATCAACGGCAAGCAGCCAACAGCCAACCCTCAGCACTCACATGCTTCAGGCTTGAGCACTTCAAAAGGAAAACCTGCAGCTAAAACATTGGCGTTCACCTCCCGGAAGGTAAACTAAACTCGAAGGAATGGATTTTCTATTTAAACATCAGACGCAGCACTCAAATACAGGATTCAAAACCTATTTACATGAGTTATAAAGACAAGTCACTGCAGGCGGTCGTGTGACAGGGCTGTTATCCTATTTATACACCCAAAAGTCAGGGACTTTCCATTGCGGCCTCAGTGGTTTAATTAAATACATCAAAAGTACTCATGGAATCTCAGGGACTTTCCACACAGAGTCTAATCAGATCACAGCCAGAGTTCAGGCCTTTTTAACCATTTTCAACCATTTGCTGTCCACTGGAAATGAGTCAGAGGCGCGAGACACTATATTTGCTGAAATCAATTTTAGGGGGGAGGGCAGGTAACTTTAAATTCAATTGAAGGGTATCGTAGTATTGCATAGTCATACAGGCCCCACTAGTATATAGGTCCAACTCATCTGTGTCGGGGTTTGTACTCCATGTGACTTCCACCGTCCCCCAACTCAATCACCCTCCTAATCCCCCTCTCCTATGTTCCCTTCTCTCTCTCTCTCTCTCTCGGGTACACATCTAGCTTTCCCTCAAACAGATTAGTTCAACGCTGTGCGTGGAGCAATCGAAGGAAGAGAGCATTTATATCGCTCGGGAATGCAACCCTGCGTGAGGGGCGCTATATGAGTGCAAGTTGCTGTTGTTGTTATATTGTGCCTTTCACGCCACACCGAGAGGACATCTCAGAGCACTTCACAAGCTAACTGGCAGACTCAACTGTGTGTGTGTGTGTGTTGGGGGGAGAGAGAGCTGAGAAGCGGAGGGGAAAAGTGACTAAATACCCAGTTGAAGAGATGGATCCCAGGATGGGATGTGAAGGTGGAGAGAGGGATGGGGTGAGCAGCTGAAAGCTCCCTCGCTCATTACTAAGCCATCGCCGGACAGAACAGTGGCTGTTTCTCAGCCTGAACATTCAGATCGTCCTGGGGGGGGTAGATTCACCGACCAAGGACCGAGTGTACCAGGCCTCTGTGTTCTGTGGCCAGCCCGTCCCACAGTCAAGAGAACTGTTCAGCGCAGCATAAATAGCTTTTGAATCACAGCCAATTGTCACAGCAACCAATGGAGCTCAGCAGTGTGAAGAGTTCCCTTGGTCGCTGTTTATTGTTGGGACGCCTTTCACACAGACATGAGCAAAACAGGCACAGGAGGAGTGCATTTTTGAAAAGGTCAGGACACAAAGAGCGTGTGAGATGGATTCAGTGATGCACACAATCAGGGTTTTTTTTCTTTTTGCCTCAGATCAGCAACGAGATGGGTTTTGCGCTGACGATGGCCAGTGTGAATGCTTATCGTTCAGCAACACACATGAATTTCAGTTCTCGCTCTCTCGCACTCACCAAGGACACCACATCACGCCCTCCGATCCCCCACCCCCACAACATCACTCCCTCGAAAAGTTCCCCCCCTCATTCCAGGACACCTCCTCACCCTGTCACTCCTAGGACAGATCATGGGAAGAGCCCCTCCCTCGCATCAACGCTCCCACTGACTCAGACATGACCTAAGAGGAAGGGCGTGGGACCTAAACAAAAGTTCCCCATGAATTTCCCATTCGTTAGATCCAGGGACTTAACAGCCTCGCTGCCCATCAAATGGATGATAATAATAATCCTTGCATTTGATACAGCACCTTGTTACCTCTTTGAGACGTCTCAGAGAGCTTCATAGAATATAATACAATAATAATCCTTGCATTTGACACAGCGCTTTCTCACGTCTTCTCGACGTCTCAAAGCGCTTCACGGAATAGACTGTAAAGTGAATTGACCGTATATTTGTGGGGGAAATGCGGCAGCCAATTGCGCACAGCAGCGTCCCACAAACAGTCGTGGATTGAAGTGACCAATTTTATCATTGTTCTTTTTTTTGGAGGGATTATTATCAGGCTTGTGGAATAAGGAAACTCGCCAAGGTTTCGCCCTGCCGGGAATCGAACCCAGGTCTCTCGCTTGTGAGGCGAGTGCTCTAACCACAGAGCTACAGGACTGTAGGTGAATGTATAAGTCTGTACATGTGAAGTAATGCTGAAAGGTTTATTCCATTTCTGGACAATGTTAGACTACCCAATCTTTACGAAATTAGATTAATTAAGTTAGAATGTACTGTAAAGTGGATTGACTGTATATTTTGTGGGCGAAATGTGGCAGCCAATTGTGACCCACAAACAGTCATGCACTGAGTGAGCAAATTATTAATTTTTGGGGGAAGGGATTATAACCACCGGAAAGCGATCAGCCAATTGACTAACAACCAGGTTCCTACTTGTTGCTGAGTAAACAGAGGAGGGTGGAATCAGGAAACTTGCCTAAGGTTTCGCCCCGTCCGTCCTTACCTCATATTGCCTGACTGTGCCCTTCCACGAGCAGCCCTGGTTAATACAAACGGCCAACATGCTCTCCACCTCCCGACGAGCCGCATTGTCGGGAAAGGCCTACAGAGAAAAGGGAACAGAATACAATATATAGTAGAAGAACAAGAGCAGGAACTGATCTTAAAGTTCCTCTGGGCGTTAACCTGGGGTCAGTTTGGACCTCTTCTGCCTGTGGGTCCGGGCCTTTAACCCAGTACAATCCTGAGTTACGCTGGCATTGAGCCAACTCAAAAACACACAGGATTTCAGTGTGCAGTGCAGCGAGTGAGTATTTTGCAGGAAAGCCTGGCAGCCAAGATTTGCACACAAAATGTCAAGTTCCACAAACGGTCATTGAAGTCGATGAACAATGTTATCTGGGGGAACGTTGGCAGGTACAAGCAACCCAAGGCTCATAAATCCAGTCTAAAGCTTTCAGCTGGTTTCACTTTAAGAAAGGGAAAATCCGGCTTTGAATGACGGCTGTATTTAAGCGCTTGCTTCACCTCTATCTCCACCTTAAATTGTAAGCCACAAAGTATGTCCTCGCATGGAATTTCAGACAGTTTGTTGACACCAACAGTCAACTGGACGGAGGTGTAAAGCGACGCACACTTTGCTCTCACGCGCTCTGTGCCAGGCCGAGCCACGTTTGTGGAGGGACAAGTTCACCCACTCTGACCAGGGCTCGACACTGTCGAGAGATTTCGGCTCCGAAGGGTATTCACATAATAATAATCCTTGCGTTTGATACAGCGCCTTATCATGTTGTTGAGACGTCTCAAAACACTTCACAGAATACATTGTGTAGACGACTGACTGTATTTTGCGGGCGAAACACGGCAGCCAATTGCGCGCAGCGGTGTCCCACAAACGGTGGTAGATTGAGCGACCACGTTTTGTTTTAGGGGATTAATATCTCCAAAAGTGATCCGCCGATCGAATAATAACCGGGTTCCTACACACCACTAGGAAAACAGAAGTGTACAGAGTAATGAAACCTGTCTTAAAAGTTTTCGGCACCATCCAGTAATTGAATTGAACCCAGATTCTCTCTCTTGCAAAGCGAACTCTCTAACCACTACGCTAAGGGGCTCCATACAGGACAACAACAACTTGCACTTATATAGCGCCCTCCACACAGGAGGGTAGCGTCTCAGAGCGGTTAACGGTGGCGGAGCCCGACTCCGAGCTGGGGATGGTGGGGAATGGTGGCCGTAAGCAACGTCAAAGAGGAAGGACGGGACTTGAAAAAAGGGGAGAGAGGGGGCAAGGCGTCAGGATTGAGGGAGAGAGTTCCAGAGTTTCGGGGCGTAGTGGCTGAAAGCGCGACCTCCAATGGCGGGGCGGAGGGTGCGAGGGACGAGTAGGAGGCCGGTGCCAGTCGAGCAGAGGCGCCGGGTGGTGGACTGGGGAGTGAGGAGGTCGGAGAGGTTGGGGAGGTGCCGGGGAGTGAATGGATTTGAACACGAGTGTGAGGATCTTGAAGTCGATCTGTTCGGTGATGGGGAGCCAGTGGAGCCTGACCAGAACTGGTGAGATGTGGGTACGGAGTTTGGTCTGGGTCAGTGTGCGGGCAGCAGAGTTCTGAATGAGCTGGATCTTTTGAACAGTGGAGCTGGGGAGACCGGCGAGGAGAGGGTTTGAGTAATCCAAGAGGGAGGTGACAAACGATTGCACGAGGGTTTCGGCTGCATTTGGAGTAAGGTGCGGTCGGAGGCGGGCAATGGTGGCGGAGGTGGAAGAGGGCGGTCTGGTCAGGAATCGGATGCTGGGGGAAGAAGAACACAATGTACATGAATCAAACCACGTTCATTGCGATTGTTGGCAAATCATTGTGAAACCTTTTTTTGCGAAACTATTGCAGCATTAAAGGCTTACTCACAAATGGGAAGGCCAGGGTTAGGGCAACTCGACTTTAGCCCCTTCAATCCTCTTATCTTTCTCGATGGCCTTAGTTTGCAGGGTTTCTCGAGGAGCAGACAAAAAGCCTGGGAGCCTGACCCACATCCCGAGTGTAGTCCTAGTTTCCGAGTATGAGCTTGTGCTCTCTTTCCCCATGCCACTAAGACGTTCACTCAAAATCTTTTGCTTACCGAGGTTTCGTTCAAGATCGACGTAGGATCTTCATAAATATCCTCTTCGATGCACGCTGCACATTTCTGGGGGCTCGAGCTGGGGGGAAAGAGAGAGAGCGTGGGGTTCAATGCATTGCTTGCGCCATAACGTCTTCATGATAAATCCCACATTCGAATGAGCGCCAAAAGCAGCACAACGTCTCTCAGGCGCCTTACGGGGAATTGCTATGACGTGTAGTGACTGTGTATTTTGTAGGTGAAAGGGGCAGTTCATTTGTGCACAGCAGGCGTCCCGCAAACAGCTGCGAAATGTATGACTGATTTATCTGGGGGATTGTTGGCCAGGACACCGGGAGAAATAAACTCCCTTCTGTTTTTGAATAGCGACACGGGATCTTTTAACGTCCCCTGAACAGGCAGACGGGACCTCAGGACGTCATCTGAAGGACAACATCTTTGACAGAGCAACACCCCCACCCGGGCACTGCACTGGCATGCAATAGCAAACGGGTGACTCTTTGACTCTTTGCCCTTGGCCTGTTCTATCCGGTGTACTTTTCAGGCAGTGAAATAAAACACTGTCTCAGAGCTGGATGACACAAATGCCAAGTCACTTCATCGGATGACCTAATGTCAAGAGGAAATCCACAATCATATGACACCACAAAAAAAAACTCGACAGCCCAGTTAACAAACACTGTGTGACAGCCTTCTGGCTGTAACACTGCCCATCAAAAATTCCAACATCACACACCTGCATTGACCAGCCTTGCCATTTCGTATCACCCACCCGCCCTACCCTCGACTGTACTAGACTGTCCCTGTCTGTACAGAATTGTGCTGGACTGTACTTGAACTGTGCGGGACTAGACAATGCAGGCAAATTGCTCTGCTCTGTGCCAAATCCCTGTCGGAGCAGAAAAGCAGGATGCTCTCTACCCCTGTCGGTGGCGTCAGAAAATCTAGCGTCTGCTCGTCAGTTCCTGCTCTTTCAGGAATCAGAGGCAAAGCAGATGATTCAAACGTTAGCGGACGCTGCAACACAGCAAAGCAAATATTACCACGAGGAGGGGAACGAGACTAAACAGCACTTAATCCCGACAAGGGCACAATCCCACTTATTTGCATCAGATTAAAATTGCACAACTAACCAGAATATGCAAATGGGTAAGGGGAGTTTTTCCCCAGGAAGGGATAGCTTTACTGCGCTGATGCGATAAGCAAAAAGACACGATAGAGCGAGCGTAGGGACAAATTAATTTTCGCTATTCTTTAATGAGATACCCCATTACAATTCCTTAATTCCTGCCAACTGGGGGTGGGGTGGGGGGGAATGGGATCCAGACTTAGTTGGTTTTGAATGCCTGCAGGTTTGGTTATCAGGCACTCCTCCCTCCCTCTTCCCCCTATTAATGTGACTCGTATTTCCTTATTAAGAAATCCCATGAAGAAATCACTGACAAGAGAACAGTAGAGATAATAATTATAATAAATATAATTAGAATAAGAAGTAAGAATAATCATCCTTGCATATGATATATAATTTGTTCAAGTTGTCTCAAAACACGTCACAGGATTTTATCGTGAAGTGTAGTGACTGTGTGTTTGTACTCAAACAGCCATGAAGTGAACAACCAATTTTAACTGGAGACACGTTGGCCACGATACCGGGAGAAATTCCCCTCTTTTTTTCCCCCAAATAACGCCATGGGATCTTTAACTCCCATCTGGACAGGCAGACGGGACCTTGGTTTAACATCTCATCTGAAGGATGGCAACTCTGACCACACAGCACAACTGCTCTGGAGATGCCTAGACAGTGAGCTCAAAGGCTGGATTTTGGGTTTCAAGTTTCTGACGCAGAGACGAGAATGCTAACAACTGAGCCAAAATGACACCTAATATAGTGTCCTCAGTGTTGAGTGTGAGTTATCCCAGGAATGGTTTCCTTTCTAATCACCACCACAGAAACCCATACATTCCATTTCAACTGACTCAATCTGCCCCGATTGTCTAGACTTGAAGAGATTTGAGACCTGATGTGAAAGGCGCTACATCAAAGGCAAGGATTATTATTATTATATCACTTATCTGCACTCCCACTGCACCGGGTCCCTAAATAATAGGAATTCCAAAGCACCAATAGTCTTTAGTGAAAGCAAATGAACAAGAACGAGAGAGAAAGACCGGCATAGGTATCTGAATAAGCAAACATAACCTCGGTTGAACATCTCATCCGAAGGATGACTCCTCTGGCAATGCAGGGCACCCCCACATTGGAATGGAGAGTCAGCCTGGACTGCGAGGTAAATGTTCCCAACCTGGTATGGCTTGAACCCACAACCTTCTGACTCAGAGGCGAGCGAGTGCAACCCACTGAGACAGGCTGACACCTGACAAATATTCCTAAACCTAGATGGAGCCCTTGTGGACTGTCTACAGGAAGTGTATGTGCGTAGGTTAGAGTACTCGCTTTGCAAGTGAGAGACCTGAGTTCAATTCCAGGCAGGGGGCGAAACCTTGGGCAAGTTTCCTTACTCCACACAGAGCCTAATAATAATCCCTCCAAAAAAAAACAATAATAAATTGGTCATTTTCAATCTACGACTGTTTGTGGGACATTGCTGTGCGCAATTGGCTGTCGCGTTCGCCCATAAATATACAGTCAATTCACTTTACAGTGTGTTCTGTGAAGCGCTTTGGGAAGTCCTCCCGACGTGAAAAGTGCTATATCAAATGCAAGGATTATTATTATTATAGGAGGAGGTTAGACCCAGGCTGAGATCAGCTCACATTTCTGATCTGCCTTACTTTTTAACAGAGTCCCACAGATCAGCCTCGGCATATGGCTGGCTGATCACATTATACAGATCATACGCTGTGCATTTACCAGGCAGTGCATTCACAGTGTGGGAGGCAACAACAACTTGCATTTATATAGCGCCATTCACACGGGGCAGTGTTTCGGAGTGCTTAACAGTGGCGGAGCCTGAAGCTGAGCTGGGGGGAGGGAGGAGGTAACCGTAAGCACTGTCGAAGAGGAAGGTCTTCAGTCATGATCTAAAGGATCTAAAGCAAGGCAAAGGGATTGGGGATTGGGGAGGAGATTATTCTTACTGTATTATTATTGTCCGAGCCTGTTCTCTTACCTAACGATCCACTTTAAACAGGAGGCGCAGAACCGGTGACCGCATTGAACCTGGAAGGGTTTCCGGAGGATTCCGTGACACTCGACGCACAGGTACTTGTCTTCGACTTTTGCCGTCAGGATTTCCTTCGGGAAACCGCGCTGATTGCCGGCTGCCTGGGACTCTAAGGAACTGGGTGGACTTCTCTCACTCCTCGCCGCCATGTGTCCTCGGCACGTCACTCCTTCCAGCTTCTCTGAACAAACCGCTAAGGAAAAAATAAGTTTTTTTTCAGCAAACGGCAACCCGGCTGATTTCATGGCTGGATCTCAGATTCCCCTAAACAGCTGATGTTTTGGCTCAGTCTATAACACGTGCATCTCTGAGTCAGGGGTTTGTGTGTTCAAGTTCCCCCCTCTCTCCTCCGTCATCGGTACTTTAAAAATCATAAATAATCCTCGCATTTCACATCATTTCTCGTCGGGGGGGAGGAACGTCTCAAAACGTGGCGCAGGATTTACTGTCAAGGCGGTGCCGTGTGTTTCGTAGCCAAACACGGCAGGCAATTTGCGCACAAAGATGTCATGCAAACATTTTACAAACTGAATCATAGAATCTTCCAGCACAAAAGTAGGCCATTCGGCCCATCGTGCCTGGAGCAGCTCTTTGAAAGAGCGATCCAATTAGTCCCACTCCCCCGCTCTTTCCCCGTTGCCTTGCAAATTTTTCCTTCTCCAAACATTTCCAAAAGAAAATTAAACTTTGAGCGAGCTGATAGTCCAACCCAGTGGGACAGAAAATTAACTCTGGACGCCCAGCCCTTCATATGACTGTGCGTACGTGCCTGTGTCCAAATTTCTAAATGCCCTGGGTTATAATGTCAATTGCACAATGCTCAGTTTCGGGCGAGAAGCAGGGCAATGGTTGCAGGTGCCTCAGTCCAGGTCTATTCCTATCCCTGAAGTCCTAGTCCTTGGAAGCCCGAAACGTCCCCTACTCTTGGGCCGTTGAGACCATTTTATTTCACGATTTAAAATTGTGCAGAAGTAATATTAAGAACAATCCTTGCAATTTGATAAAGCACATTATCGCATCATCAAAATACATCAAAGCGCTCAAAGGAGTCAAAACTAATAATAATAATCCTTGCATTTGGTGTAGCACTTTGTCACCTCATTGAGACGTCGCAAAGCACTTCACCAAATATACTGTAAAGTGGATCGATTGTGTATTTTGTGGGCGAAACGCGGCAGCCAATTGCACACAGCAGCGTCTCCCGAACAGTCGTGGTCTTGAGTGACCAAATTATTATTTTTTTTCGGAGGGATTATTAGCCCCGGAAAAGCGATCCGCCAATCGACAACCAGTTAACGAGGATCTGTGACTGCGATTTCGTTGGGGAACAATTTGCTCAGAACAATGACCCGCAGGCACCGTCCAGTTTTATCGGGGTGGCTGGCGGGTGGGGGGCGGGGAAAAGGGGCTGACCCCCAGCCAGAGTTGTGGGAGTTGGAATTTGTCAGGTCAGGTTTGCCACAAGTTTTTTTTATATAAAAAAAGAGAAAAAGAAAGCTCGGACTTGCAAATTAAGACTCACACAATGAAGCATTTTCCACAATTCTGCACAAATCTTAAATATTAAGACAAAGATAGTGTTCCAGGTTCAGGCTGTGGGGGGTGTGGGTGTGGGGGTGTGGGGGGGGGGGGGAGGGGGGGGGGGGGGGATTCCAGGCCTGTACTAGGGAATCCCTTTGTAAGCAAGGCGATTTCTCTGGTGATAATCCCACCCCTTGTGGGGGGGTCCCAGTCTGTTTGTCTGTTGTCGAGACCATTTTATCGTTGTGGCTTCATTTGCTGCTCATACCTTAAATACTGTGCTCAGTAAACACGTCGATCCGCCTCTGTATCTCTCTCTGTCTGTGCCTCTGTGTCTCTCTGTCTGTGTGTGTGTCTCTGTGTCTCTCTGTCTGTGTGTGTGTCTCTGTGTGTGTGTGTGTGTCTCTGTGTGTGTGTGTATGTGTGTGTGTGTATGTGTGTGTGTGTGTGTATGTGTCTGTGTCTCTCTGTCTGTGTGTGTGTCTCTGTGTGTGTGTGTGTGTCTCTGTGTGTGTGTGTATGTGTGTGTGTGTGTGTGTGTGTGTGTGTGTATGTGTCTGTGTCTCTCTGTCTGTGTGTGTGTGTATGTGTCTGTGTCTCTGTGTGTGTCTGTGTCTGTGTCTCTCTGTCTGTGTCTGTGTGTGTGTGTGTCTGTCTCTCTCTCTCTCTGTTGTGTTGGCCTCGCTGTTGCTCCGGCCCGGGCGGGGTGGGGGGAGAGGTGGGCGCCAGGCGGCGGGGTAGGGGTTGGGGGGTGAGGGTGGGGGGGTGAGGGTGGGGGGGTGATGTAGGGGTAGGGGTTGGGGGGTGAGGGTGGGGGGGTGAGGGTGGGGGGGTGATGTAGGGGTAGGGGTGGGGGGGAAGAGGGGATACAATGTAATTGAGTGCTCCGATGGGAAGTGGAGGATACATTGTAACCGAACGATTGGCCACATTGTTGCGGGGACTGGAACCTACTGTAGCCATTGCGCCCTACACCCCCCCCACCCCCTACACCCCCCCACCCCCTACACCTCCCCCACCCCCCCCACCCCCTACACCCCCCCACCCCCTACACCTCCCCCACCCCCATCCTCTACCCCTACCCCCTACACCCCCCCCACCCCCTACACCCCCCCCACCCCCATCCTCTACCCCTACCCCCTACACCCCCCCCACCCCCTACAACCCCCCCATCCCATCCTCTACCCCCCACCCCTACACCCCCCACCCCATCCTCTACACCCCCATCCTCTACCCCCCACCCCATCCTCTACCCCCCACCCCTACACCCCCCCCACCCTATCCTCTACCCCCCCACCCCATCCTCTCCCCCCCAATCCTCTACCCCCCCCCACCAGGGATCTCAGCCCCAGATAATACACCATATATATATATATGTGTATGTTACACACACACTTACCCACTCCCCACCACAATCTCTCTCTTCCCCGAGATCTGTGTTTGCAACTTAAACAGAAGTGGGTGATATGTCGCCGCCCCAACCCGGAAACTAAAGCAATCGCTGTTTGTTTCACTGACCCCCCCCTCCCCCCCTTCCCCTCCCCCCCCCTCCCCTCCCCCTCTCTCTCTCTCTCTCTGTGCCCAGAGCTCAGGGCCATCCACACACAGGGAGAGGGAGAGAGAGGGAGAGAAGAGCAGAGCCACAACAGTGAGGATAATTATTACTTTGCCCTCTTCCCGAATTATTACTTTGCCTCTTGTCTCCGCTGCCATCATAATCGTTGCATTTTGTTTTGATACAGCGCTTGTCACGTCTTCTCGACGTCCCAAAGCGCTTCACAGAATAGACCGTAAAGTGAATTGACTGTGTATTTTGTGGGCGAAACGCGGCAGCCGATTGCGCACAGCAGCGTATCCCCCCACCCACCCACCCACCCACCCATACACACACACACACACACACACACACAAAAGCTGCGGATTGAGTGACCCGAATTTTTTTTAAAAATGGGGTTATTGCCCCCCCCCCCCCCCGCAAAAGCGATCCGCCAATCGACTAACAACCGCTCGGTAAACAGAGGCGTACGGAGAGTAAGGAGACAACAACAACAGCTTGGATTTATATAGCGATTTATATAGCGCCTAACGTTTCCGCCCGGGTATCGAACTCAGGTCCTCTCGCTCACTCGCTCGCGCGGCAAGTACTCTAACCGCCGAGGTACAGGGCTGCCCGTGTAGGTGGGACGCATGGAATTCTCATGTCGGTTTGGAAGCCCTTAAGCGCGGTGATGGATTTCCGCAGGTGTCAGACACCCGGCCGACACCCTTAAAGACACGTTGTAAAGAAGCGAGATGCCTCTTCCGAGGCGGAAGGGTTCCAGTTTGGCTCGTCCAACCAACACAGGTGATTTCACTGTGAGCGGAGGGACTGGGGACTGTATTTGCGGGTGAATGCGGCAGCCGATTTGCGATCCTGTGAAGCTGCTTGAAACATTTGCCCCGGCGTAAAACGGCGTCTGGTTTGCCTCGGGTACTGCTGCCCCGCACTCTTTCGATGGTGATGAGTCAAATAACACCAAGTGTGACAAAGGTCACGACTGTTAACATTATCCACAAAATCCGAGTGTCAGTTAATTGATCGGACACAAATGAGGTGTCAGCCTGGCTCAGTCGGTAGCAATCTCGCCTCGTGAGTTAGAAAGTTGTGGGTTGAAGCCTCATGTGCGGATTTGGAGTCCCTATGGTCTACGCTGACACCACAGTTCAGTGCTGGGGGGGGGGGGGGAGGGAGAGGGGAGGGAGGGAGGGAGGTGGTGGTGGGAACGGGGGGCTGGGACATTGTTGGGAGCTGCCGTCCTTCGGATGAAAGGTTAAACTGAAGTCCTGCCCAACCATCCAGATCCCGTGGCACAACTCGAAAAGAGAAGGGAGTTTCTCCCGGTGTCTTTGCCAACAATCCCCCAAATAAAATTGTTTGTGGGACATTGTTGTGCGCAAATTGGCTGCGGGTTCACCCACAAAATACCCAGTCACACCCCTTGACAGCGTATTCTGAGAAGTCCTTTGAGATGTCTCAGCCAATCTCACTCACCTTGCAGCACAGTGGTCTGTCTAACTCTGCAACTCATGAGGTATGCCACGATACAAGTCTGAAATGAGTTTGACAAACCCCTTCACCCCCCCCCCCAGCTTTTACAATGACTGGATTATAAACCTTGCTCACATTGAACACACACACACACACACAGTTCTTTGACCACTTGACTCCTCTTTAAGTGACGCATGCTGAAAGCGCTTTCGGTTTCGTTCCCTTCAGGAGCTAAAAGAAAGCAGTTTCATAATTGGTGCCAGACCCCGTGAGTCCAAAGATCTCCTTCTGCGCTGCAAATTTCGGTGGTTCTACCTCTGCACGCCTGTTCCTCATCTTTAAGTATTTGCATGTATTTAACGTATTAACGAACCAAGTTCCTTTAGCTTTATTTTTTCTTCTTTTGCTGTCTGCTTTTCATACTTCCTTTGACTCTGTCTTCAGCTGAGAAATTGAGTGCAGTAGCAGCCAATTATTTTGATTCAATAACCATCAGTATACTTGACGGCAAATAGGAAGCATTGTGTAATGTTAATATAGTCACTGTATAATAATAATCCTCGTGTGGGATATAGCACCGAAACTCAAAGCGCTTCACTGGATGTACTGCGGAGTATAGTGACTATGTATTTATAGATGAACACAGCAGCCAATTTGCGCACAGCAATGTCCCACAAACGGCCACAAAAGTGACAGACCAGTCTTATGTGGGGGATTATTGGTTCGGACTCCAGGAGAAACTCCCTTCACTTTTCAAATAGAGCCACGGGATCTGAACAGGCACAGACAGGACGTTGGTTTAATGTTTCAGGATCAGGACGTCAGCTGTGACAATGCAGAGTTCTCCCCAGTACTGCTCTTGGCTGGGTCAGCCAATACAGAATAGACTGTAAAGTGAACTGACTGCACTTTTGTGGGCGAAATTGTTGCAACATTTGCACTATCTCACATTCTGGTGATTGGAAGATGATAACATGGAGTTATTCGCCTACCATCATCCTGTGATGAATTTACTTAACCATTTCCTTCCAATGAGACATTAAACTGAAGCTTGTTGAGGTCGGTCATACACTCAGAGTCATGGCCCAATGATACTCCAGGTAAATTGCTCCTTCATTTCAGGTCTGTCTGAGGGACGTTGCTTTGCACAAATTGGCTGTTGCGTCTTCCAACAATACACAGTAGAGACCTTGTGAGATATCAAATTTCCAAAAGCCCCAACTTGTTAGGTCAGTGCATTCAGCGCCTGAATGGCATTTATTTACAGTACACAATGAATCCTGTGTACGTTACGAGGCAATGGAGCACCTGTGAATATTGCAGGCGACTGCAGTTGCTTTGGATATATAATAATAATAATCCTTGCATTTGATACAGCTCCTTATCAAGCCTTCGAGACATCTCAAAGTGCGTCACAGAATATACTGTAAAGTGAATTGACTGTATATTGTGTGGGCGAAACGCGGCAGCCAATTACGAACAGTAGTGTCCCACAAACAATTGTGGATTGGGTGACCAAATTATATTAGGGGACAGTGCACATTGTAATATTACTGCAACTACAATATAACTAACAATGTAGAATATCAATAGCTTTGAAACAACTGGTGCCTTCAGGGACTGAGCAACGCGGAGGAACATCAGCACAATAAGTACAGTACAGTACAGTACGTACCTTCGTGAAAGATTCTCAAATTTAACTCAAACACATTTCAAACAACACAGAATCTTTTGTTAAAAATGTTTCAAATGTTATTAACATTTGCATTCACGGTACTCAGCTTGAAAACAATGTTCCTTATTAACAGCATAGCTATGTCAAATGCAAGGATTATTATTATAACATAACAATAGCTAGGTTATTGAGCTCCGAACGTGTAGTAAATGAATTAAACTCACCAACAGACAACAGCAGAAATCTCCTTGGACTCTCAGGGTGATCGCTTGGTCAATGTGCTTTTCCTTGCCAGAAAGTGAAAGTTTGGTGCTCTCTCTCGATAGAGGCAGTTCTGAGCTCATGAAATGGATCAACCTTTGACACAACTCCTCGGTTAAATATTATTTGTCACTCCTTCACACGCCATCTCCTTCCTCCCCTCCTCCCCTCAGTTAGCATCGCATCGCTGGTAATATTAAATTGGAGGCAGTAACAACAACAACACCTTCCACTCAGAGCACTTAACAGTGGTGGAGCCTGATTCTAAAGTGTGTGTTTATTACCTCGCCTCCAGAGGATCCATATTCTGTTGGGAATATTCTGTGTATTTACTGTGAATCATTCAGCATCCTGATCAACAAATGAATCAATGGAACGCTCCAATGAACACAAACCATATCCTGGAAACCAATGTGTCAGAAACTCGGCCTTTCCCTACGCTCAGCAGCCTCCATCCTGCTTCATGTCCCCTGCCCGCCCCCACCCCCACCATCGGCATTCGGGCCTTCAGCCTCTCTGCCCCCACCCTTTGGGACTCCATCCTACAAGTCCCTTCGCCTTGCCCTTACCTCCTTCAAGGCTCATCTCAATCCTTGCTCACTCCGTTTAGTTGCTTCACACCAGACTGTTTTAGATGAAGAAGGTCGAACCCATCGCAGCTTCGATCTGTTTTTTTTCTAAAATTAGTCCAGTGTCCCGGCACCACACACGCTTCCTGGTAACCTGTTCCAGTCATTGATTAACCTCTCGGTAACCAAATATTTCCTGGGGTCTGTCCTGAAATTTCCCCGACTCTAAACCTGTGACCTCTTGTTGCTGCCTCACTGCATCTGAAACTACCATTTTGCCTTTACTTTCTCAATACCGTTAACAATTTTAGACATCTTGATAAGGTCCTCTCTGAGACGTTTCATGCCCCAACCCTCTGAAACTCTTCTGCACTCCTTCTAGGTCCTGGGCAGCCCCTTTACGTCATGGAGATCAGAACAGTATGAGGTGTTCCAGCAAGGACCACTACAGTTGGTCTCGGTGGCCTTGGGCTAGGAGAGTGTAACATCAGGCAGGGTTCTTGCTTCTGGTGATAGCTAGTGAACCTATTGCACAGTGGGTATGTGGATAAATTGGGGTGAACAGTTATGGACTTGATTGTGATAAGTCACTGCCAAGCTCGCACATAAAATATAGTGAGGTACCAGTATTGTTAAAATGCGCACGGTGTCAGCTTGGCTCAGTTGGTTAGCGCTCTCATCTCTGGACCAGAAGGTTGGGGATCCTCAATTCAAGAGGGAATGAGTTAGACATCTAAAGAGGAGTACTTTGCAGGAGTTTGGGGCGAAAAGGCAGGTAAATGGGACTGAATGGATTGCTCTTTCAAAGAACCGACGCAGACACGATGAGAGAGAACTTCAAAGAGTTTCCTGGAGAGTTTAGTGCAGGTTGGGGAGAGTTTGCCTTGGGAATACTTTACCCATTATACTGAACTGGAACCTAACCAGCAAAACAACAGCTATTTCGAACGCTGTCGCAGTCGTTTTCACTCCCCGAAGCTTGAGGAGGGGAATTTACAAGGGAAATATCACAGTCCACATTGCTATGCAGTTTCCCCTGCTGGCCTCAGTAAGAACACTTTATTATCATTATCGATAAGCTGACGTACAAAAACAAACAGATTGCTGGTGCAGAGATCCCCAGGTTTGAGCTTGAACATAGATGGAGTTAGACGTCTTATTTGATAACAATAATCCTTGCATTTGGAGACAGAGCCTCATCACGTCGGTGAGTTATACAGTATTGATAAAGCTGTATTTGATCCTCAAATATAGAGGGAATCAGGGTCACAGTGCAGGAAATTAACATCAAATGTAACATTTACTTCCGCCTGATCAGCTGTGAAATGGACATAAATGCAACATTTTCTTCCTTTCCCGACGTGAAAGGCGCTCTATAAATGTAATTTTGTCGTTGTTGTTGTTGTGATCAGCTGTTTGCCCATCTCTCTCTCTCTCTCTCTCTCTCTGTTACTCCAGGCCTGTTCCTGTTCCTATTCTCGTTCCCCGATGGTGAATTTGGGACTCAGCAAAGTGCAGCCCTCGGTAGCAGCCAAACACCCGGTAACAACTGATGGCTTTTCACCGGATAGCAGCTGCGTTTAGGGACCGGGTGGGGGGTGGGGGGGGAGTGCGACGCAGAGCGCAACAGGATCTGATCCCGGTTCAAGGTCACGAACGCCTCTGGCTCTTCTGATCGTCTCCACAGTCCATTGCAGTAATTAGGGGGAGCTTTTTATACAGGGAGCGAGTGAGTGAATCAGTATGATCTTCACCCAGGACCGTGAGGAATTTGGGATCTCAGATGTGCGACGTGCCTGTGTTACGCAATTGGCTGCCGCGTTTCGCCCACAAAATACACGCTCAATTCACTTTACAGTGTATTCTGTGAGACATCTGGAAGATGGGATAAGGCGCTGTATAAAACCAAGGATTATTATTATTATTATTATTACAGGGTATTGAGGAATATGCCGCCTGCCAGTCACACGCGTTCCTGAAGGGCACTATGACGTTTGTATTAGGTACGTGAATCTTATTTTTACCAGTGTTCGAGCCTTCGACCGCTTGTGTGTCCAGTACGTCCTATTTCTCTCCCACCCACCGATGTGTTTCTGTGTACACAGGGGCCAGTGGCTGTTTCATTGTCCAGCGGATGTTGAGTAAGAAGTTTGCTTTACCTCTGCATTGGAGCATTTTACTATCAGCAGGTCTGTATATGGTGTCAATGCTTCACACTGTTTACCCAATGTTTGTAGCGACAACCACAACCATGACTTCCTGCCACCGCTGTTAGCGATGAAAATATGCCCTCTGATTTTGCTGCAGGTGTCAACCTGGCTGAGGCTGACAGAAAGCCAGCAGGTGACGTCCTTCAGATGAAAAGTTAAACCGAGAGGATTATTATTATTATAATTATCGTAAGGTTCTCTCCTCTGCCTTGACCCCTCACTATCTGTCTTTAAAAGCCTCCTGAAAGCCTTCCGCTTCCACCGTGCCTATGGTCACCGCCTTCCTCCCGCGCCCTCCCTTGCCAAGTGTCTGGCAAAGTCTGCTGTAAAGCGCTCTGGGACGTTACCCTATGTGTTAGGCGCTGTATAAATAAATACACGTCGTTGTCATAGTTTCTCTGTGTGACGCAGTGACCGGATCCCTGGCGAGTTATGCAGTGACTCGGGTTGAAACGCAGAAGTGCTCCAACCTGTGGGTTTACCTGGAGACCGGGAGAATGCCTGGGAGCTCTCAGCCAGGTGAGACTTATCACCTCTGCAACAGGCGTAAGCAAAGCGGCTGTCAGGAGTGTAGAAAAACCAGACGCACAATCCATCTGAAAGGGTGGTGCAGAGAGAGAGGAAGTATTTTTTCACCCTAATTATTATGATGATAATTACATAATCAATACTCTTGGAGCTGCCAGACTTGAGCAGGAACAGCTCCATTCCCTGGCACTGCTGGGTGTCAGAGGTGAAAGTAATTTAACCTCTTCACGAGCAGTCTCCAACCTTGTTCCAAAATCTGCTCCTTCTGCCACCGTCTGCGCAGTAAGGGTAAGTTCAGTTAGCCTTGGCCCATGGCTTAAACCCTCATCTAAGCCATGAGCTCTGTGAGCCGATCACCCCCATCCTCGTCTGGCTTCACTGGCTCCCCATCCCCCAGAGGATCGAGTTTAAAATCCTTGACCCCACCTTTAAAGCCCTCCACGGACTTGATCTGCCCTGCCTCTGTAACCTACCCCTGCAAACCCTTCACTGTCCAGCACCTTGGGACGTGCTCTCGATGTGAAAGGCGCTACACAAATGCAGTGCAATTTGTTGTTATATTTATTCAGTGCCTTTCATACAGGAATATGTTTGAGAGGGTTTTGGGGAGATACAGGAGACTGAGCTGGGTGCGAGATGGGGGGCTGGGGTTGGGGGGGGGGAAGGAATAAGCTCCAGTTAAAGTTATTTAGGTTTTTAGACGGGTCCCTCTGAGGAGGGAGTGAGGCGGAGGGAAGGATTCAAAGAGTTCCAGAGGGCATGGGGACAGGTGGCTTAAATCTCCCTGTCGACAGTGCGGCACGGGCGTGTGGGGGGGGTGAATTCTGAATTGGTGGTGGGGAGCGAATGGGTGAGGGAGGAAATAGGACCACAGGAGATCACAGAGAAGTAGAGTGGAGTCTGGGAGAAGAAAGAAAGCAGGCTTACAAAGGACGGGGTGACTTTTTGTTTGAAAGCTGAACAAAGAGTCCCAACTGAACGTCGTTTATTTTTGGTCAAACAGGTCAAACGGACACCCGGGAAAGCTGGGGTGGAGCGGAGAAATATGTGGGCGGCGACATCGTGAAGTAAAGCCGCTTCGTTGACTTCTCTGTGTCGAGTGACCTTGCATTATTCCAGCACGCTCAGATCGGAACATTCTGTGACCTATGCTCCAGTTGCAATGAGGTGCAACATCACTTTCACACCAGTGCTGTTTATAGCCTCGTGACCCAAAGAACACAACGTGAACAAGCCACAAGCACCAAAGTGTTTACCGACCAACTGGTTCCCAGGCTCACTCACGCTAGGTTCCTACTCGAAGCCCTTGCGCTCATAAATCAATCTCCAATAATAACGATAATAATAATCCTTGCATTTGATATAGCGTCTGATCACGTCGTTGAGACGTCTCAAAGCGCTTCACAGAATATATATTGTAAAAAACCCTACTGAAAAACCCTACTGAGTAAAAAACCCTACTCTACTGAAAAAACCCTCCCTTGATGCGTCGCAGCTATCAAGCTACCGGCCCATCTCCAACCTCCCCTTCCTGTCCAAGGTTCTTGAAAGAGTCGTCGCCTCCCAGCTGCACTTTCCTCTCCACCCACTCACTTTTGGAACCCCTCCAGTCGGGTTTCCATGCTGCCCATAGCACGGAAACCGCCCTGGTCAAGGTCATTAATGACATCTTGACCATCTGGGACCAGGGCTCCCTCTGCCTCCTCGACCTATCGGCCACAGTCGACCACTCTATCCTCCTCCACCGCTTGTCTTCCCACCTCAACCTTCAAGGCCCTGTCCTTGAGTGGTTTAGGTCGTACCTCTCCCACCGTCTTCATTTTGTCTCTGCAAACGGCTTTTCCTCCGGCCCCTGCACTGTCTTGTGTGGTGTCCCTCAGGGCTCTGTCCTCGGTCCCCTCCTCTTCACCCTCTACATGCTCCCCCTTAGTGACATCATCCGCAGACATGGGGTTAACTTCCACATGTATGCGGATGACACCCAACTCTACCTTTCCTCCTCTACCCTCAACTCCACGATCCCCGATGTCCTGACAGCTGTCTGTCCGACATAGAGTCCTGGACGAGAGACAACTTTCTTCAGCTCAACGTGCGCAAAACTGAGGCCCTCCTGATTGGCTCACGTCAGCGCCTCCGCACCTCAGGCGCTGACAGCATCAGCATCCAAGGCTGCACTCTCCACCTCTCAAAGCCATCAGGAACCTCGGGGTTCTGTTCGACCCTGAGCTGTCCTTTCTCCCTCATATCCGCGCCACAACTGGCACCGCCTTCCATCACCTCCGGAATATCGCCAGACTACGGCACTACCTCACCCCTCACGCTGCTGAAACTCTGGTCCACGTCTTTATCACCTCAAGGCAGGACTATGGAAACTCTCCCCTCGTCGGCCTTCCTGGCCCTCCCTCCACACTGCAGGTCATTCAGAACTCTGCAGCTCGTGTACTGTCCCGCACCAGGCTTCGCGACCACATCACTCCCCCCCTCGCTCGCCTCCACTGGCTCCCCATCCCCCAGAGGATCGAATTCAAGATCCTCATCCTCGCCTACAAGGCCATTCACGGCCTTGCTCCCTCCTACCTCTCCGACCTACTATCCCCCTACTTACCTGCCCGTACCCTCCGTTCCTCTGGCTCCGGTCTGCTCCACATCCCCCGCCCAAACCGCCCTACCATCGGTGGCCGGGCCTTCAGCCTCTCAGCCCCGAGGCTCTGGAACGCCATCCCCCAGTTTCTTCGCTGCTTCCTCCCTTTCCTCCTTCAAGGCCAGTCTCAAGACCTTTCTCTTCAGCCATGCCTTCAGCTCCCCTCTCGACTCTCTACCCCCTCCTCGCTCCCTCCCCTCACCCTGACCATTTCCCCCCTGCTCGGGTCCCAACCCAACTTTCCAGCGCCTTGAGACGTCCTCCCGACGTGAAAGGTGCTCTATAAATACAATCTTGTTGTTGTTGTTGTTGTAAAGTGGATTGACTATTTTATGGGCAAAACGTGGCAGCCAATTGCAAACAAACAGTCGTGGATTGAGCAACTAAATTTTTTTTGAGTGATTATATCAAATGCAAGGATTATTATTTATTATTAATATCCCGTAAGGGATGAGGAGCCGGGGGAGTGTGTGGCAATGACCAGAACTGAGCCACATTCTCAGCTGTTAGGCTGAGGTGAGGATAACTGGTGGCTTCAAACTGTCAGTGAAGCTGCCCACATTAGTGGATGTGGCAGAGGAGAGGAAAGTCTCATTGTATTAACCTTAAACCCATTGCCTAGGTCAGCCCTGGTGGTGTAATAATAATAATAATAATCCTTGCATTTGATATAGCTCTTTATCACATCTTCAAGACGTCTCACAGCGCTACACAGAATATACTGTAAAGTGAATTGACTGTATATTTTGTGGGTGAAACGCGGCGGCCAATTACGCCCAGCAGCGTCCCACAAACAGTCGTGGATCGAAATGACCAATGTTTACTATTTTATTTTAAAGCAATTATTACCCCTGGAAAAGCGATGTGCCAATCGACTAACAACCAGGTTCCTACTTACTGTTAGGTAAACAGAGGCGTGTTGAGTTAGGAAAGTTGTCCCAACAATTCGCCCTGCCGGGAATCAAACCCAGGTCTCTCGCTACAGGACTCCACAAGTGTGTAGTGGATAGAGCTGCTGTTTACCGACCAGGAGCTTGTTGTCGGTTCGAATCCTGGTCTGTACTGGGTTTGCCGGTCTCAGCAGGAGCTGGGAGGGAAGGCTGCGTTGACCCCAGCTTTCCAGAGGTTATAAAGAGGAGTAGGAGCCAGGGTGAGTTCCTGCTCATGGTACCTCTTCAGTACCCTCTACTGGTTGTGTGCATGTGCAGCAGCCGAGCGCGGAGTGGGTGAGGCTCTGCTGTGGCCCCCTCTACAGTCGAGTGGCCTGAGGACAACCACTGCCCCATGTGAACAATAATAATAGTTGCATTTGATACGGCGCCTTACCACGACGTTGTGGAGACGTCGCAAAGGGCTTCACAGAACACACTGTTAAGCGAAATAACTGTATTTTTTGTGGGCGAAACGCGGCAGCCGATCGACTAACAGCCCCGTTGCTACTTACTGGTAGGTAAAGAGAAGCAATTCGGGTAAGGAAACATGCCTGAGGTTCCGCCCTGTCCGGGAATCGAACCCAGGTCCTCTCGCTTGCGAATCGATCACACTAACAACAACAGGACTCGACTGTCAAGGTTTACTCATGAACAACGGCCACTTGCATATCTTGTTCTCATGACAAGTCCTGTAAGGGGCTAAATTGGCCCCAGAGGCTATAGGGGGGGGGGGGGGTAAAAAGAGTCAGGGGTGAAGGGCAACAAACACGTCTGGAACCACAGCGAAGCAAGAGGAGGTGCAGAGAGAAAGAGCGACACATTGGCCAGCGGGGGAGAAAACTCACAAAAATAATTGGACGCACTAATATTTTTTTCAACAAAACACTGCCTCAGAATTTAAGATTGTGCAGATTTTTATTTCTAAGATATTTCCAAAACCCGGGCTTCCAAATAGAGATTGCATTGAAGAATTTTCCACAATTTTGCGGGATGTTATTTATCATAATAATGATTCCTACATTCGATGTAGCACCTTTCGCATCGTGAAGACCTCTCAAAGCGCTTCACAGCATTGACCGCGAGGTGTATATTTGTCGGCGAACGCAGCAGCTAATTATCACACAGCAATATCTCACGAACAGCCAGATCGGCTGCCAGGTCCACCCACAAAATACAAAGCCTCCGCGTTGTAAAATGCATCCCGTGGAGCGCTTTGAGACGTCTCAACCACGCAATAAGGCGCTCGTATCAAACATAAGGATTATTACTATTATGGGCGCTGGAGTTTAACCAGCTCAAGGTACCAATCGGGGGCAGCGCTTGGCGGGGTTAACGGGACCCGAGAGGACAGAATCCTTTTTTCCTATGACTTGCTCTGCCTCAACCTCTCTCCCTACCAAGAACTGCAGAAGAACTAATGATGACTGGGCTGATCAGTCATCATTAGAAATGACCCAAGGGGTAGCCTGGCTCGAGTCCAATGACACCCACCCAACCCCCACCCCACCCCAACCCCACCCCACCCCCAGCAACGTGAAGGATGGGGTAACAAGGGGTTCCCATTGAGCCATTTGTCTGGGGCATTGTTTGGGGACCTCGCGTAGCTCAGGTATATTGTGCGGGTGTGTGACCTCAGCGCTATAACGCTGTCTGCGCCTTGTATCAGGGCAGAGAGCGCTGGGCAGCGAGAGCGTGGCGTTAGTTAGTGAGTTAGTTACAGTTACTTAACATGTCGTGCTTCAAAGAATACAGTTCTGGAGATCGGGCTGTGGAACTCAGCAACAAGCTCTACCTGACAGGTTTCTATCCCCCCCCCCCCACCCCCCCCACCTCCTTCAGCCCTGCACTTTGCCTCTATCTTGTGCTTTTTTATATCCAAAAAACATCTGATCGTTTATCATTATTTATCATTTTTTTTTACTTGAAGCTAAAAAGCAAAATACAGCATCTTTATTCTTAAAATAAAGACTTTAAAAATGCAGTGTATATATTGTAGATTGAATATACATACATCTGGATATATATATATATATATATATTATATGTATATTATATGAAGAATCTTGCATCCTTTATGGTTAGGGATTTGCAGCCTCGAGTGCTGCTGAACCAAGAGAGATTTGCTATTATTTTTTGGTTTGGAAATGTTCACTTGTGGTTTTCAGTCAAGGTCCAGGGAAGGTTTCAATGTCTGGCAACAGCAGTGGCTTTGGGATTTGTGCAGCAAAATGCATTTGGCAAGAGTTGGGAAGGGATGTCAAATGTCCTGTGTTGGACCTCCCTCCCCCCCCCCCCCCCCCCCCCCCAACAGCGTTATAATAATAATCCTTGCATTTGCTCCACAGTCACTTTCGTATCTCTACCTTCCCTGCCCTCCACCCCTCCTGATCCCAGTCCCTACTCAGGTCCAAATCTTTGTCTGTCCAGCGCCTTGGGATGTCCTGCCGATGTGAAAGGCCCTATACACAGGTAATTTGTTGTTGATGATTACAGTTCCGGACAAAGCATTCCAGGTTAAAGATTCCATTCAAAGGTCTTCAAATACTAATCTGTTAAGCGGGTCCCTAACGCATTTGCTACTTTCCTATTTAAGCCCCTCCAAAGTAATGTATAGTAACTGACTAGTGCCTTAGCTGAGGAGTATTATTGCATTAACATAACCCACCAAAGAGACTCCATTACTTGTTTCAGCACTGATCCCTACCATTTGCTCCTTCCTCTCTCGCCATTCCTTTCACGAGCCCCTCCAATCGGGTTTCCGTTGTTGGTTCTGTCCTTGACTGGTTCAGATCGTACCTCTCACACTGTCTCCACTTCATCTCCATGAACGGTTTCTCCTCTGGCCCCCGCACCATCTTGTGCGGTGTTCCTCAGGGCTCTTTCCTTCGTCCCCTCCTCTTCAATATCTATCTATATGCTCCCTCTTGGTGACATCATCCTCAGACATGGGGTCAACTTCCACATGTGGATGACACCCAACTCTACCTCTCTGCCTCCACCCTTGACTCCAGGACCACTGCTGTGCTGACAGAATGTCTGTCAGATATCAGGTCCTGGATAAGAGCTAAGTTTCTACAATTGAATGTCAACAAGACCGAGGCCCTCCTGATTGTCTCCCGTCAGCACCTCCACACCTCAGGCACTGACAGCACCACCATCCAAGGATGCTCCCTCCACCTCACTGAGCCAGTCCAGAACCTTGGCGTCTTGTTTGACCCTCAACTATCCTTTCTAACCCACATCCCTGCCATGACCCGCTCTGTCTTCCCCCACCTCCGCAACATCGCCCGGCTCCACAACCGTCTGACCCCACAGGTCACCGAGACCCTCGTACACACATTCATAACATCCAGGCTCGACTGTGCAAACTCCTTGCTTGTCAGCCTCCCCAGCATCTCACTATTGGAGCCAAAATAATTTCAGGCATTTTTTTAGTTTGAGACAAGTGATTTGAACAATTTGCGAACATTACACCACTTGAATAAACATAATCTGCCACATGTGCCTTGGAGAGGGGGTGTGCATGTGTGTTATGAATTATGAGCAATGGAATGCCGCGAATTGCTTTGAGAAACAGTTTGGAATTGAAGAATTGCCTCAGAGCTAAATATGGTTAGAAGTGAGATCAGGTCAAAAACATTTCTTCACCCAGAGGCTTATGAGGACGTGGAATGCTCTGCCCTAGAAAGCTGTAGCGCTGGAATTAATTGGGGTGTTTTGAAGCGAGATAGACAGAGAGACTTGGATAGTAGAGGTCTTAAAAGCTGTGGTGAAAGGACGGGTTTTGGGATTAAAAGATCTGCTGATAAAATGGTGGGACAGGTCGATGTGTTGAGTGGCCTTCTTGTCTTCCTGTTTGTCTTTGTTCCCTTGTAGTATGCGCTGCAAAAGGCAAGCAGCTTCGACACATGCACCGTCACAATGACATTGTGATCTCGTTGGTCCATCCCAGTGGCCTTAAGGGGACAGAAATGTCACAAACCCCCATCCTTGCCCACTTCACTGGCTCCCCAACCCCCAGAGGATCAAGTTCAAGATCCTTGTCCTCACCTTTCAAAGCCCTCCGTGGTTTTGCTCCTCCCTACTTCTGAGATGTTTCAAAGACATGATAAGGCGCTATATCAAATGCAAGGATTATTATTATTATATTATTATTAGACAAATAAAATAATACCAACTTAGTCATTTGATTGCAACTATTTGTGGGACGATGCTGGATTCAATTGGCTGTCCCACAAACTCTAGTGCACTGAGTGACCAATTTTTTTTTAACCAGCTAAGTAACAACTGCTGAAGCTTCTCAGCTTCCAAAAGGTGGATCAGTTTTGTGGCGAGTTTCAGCCCATGGCACTCGCAGACTATATCCAGCTGTGACTCAGGCCCACAATCCTTGGTCCAGGTGATCAATTAGCCATGCATTCCGCTTCTCTCTGATTGAACCTGTCTGGGATTGTTGTTAGAGTGGGCCTTGTGAGGTGACAGAGCGGCTGTGTGACATGCATTTGGAAGGTCTACAAGCCTGAGCTCCATCCAGGGTGAGATCCTTTATTCTGTAGTTGTGTGCCACAGATCGAGGTGCGAGAATGTCGTGTTTCAAAGAATGGAGTACTAAAGATCGGATCTTGGACTTGAGGAACAAAGTCTATTTGAGAGGTTGCCATTTAACACCAACCCCGTGTGTGTACATTCGGCAAATGTCGCGCCCAGATTGTCAATGGAGAGAAATTAACACGATATCTTATTATTTCAGGAAATCGGACAGGAAAATGCCAAGTTTTGGAAAGCTTTGATGCTGGAGTCCATCTCTCCTGCAAGAGCTTTTTGGACAAAAAATCTACTTGGGTCCAAATTTAATCTAGCATCAAATTTATGCTAAACTTGGTTCACTTTTACTATTGGATGGGGCTGAAGAATGGCTAGATTTTGAAGCTGAATTTTCTTGCAAAGAAATTTTTTTAACAACTTTTCACAATCTTACACTTTAGGGCGACAGTCTTAAGGCTTGCTCGTTGTGGTTCTAACAAATCTCCCGTCACTTCGTTTTCAGAGAAATACAAGAACGCTTACTTTCAATCATCAGAGAAAGATATAGTTCAGAACTCAGAGAAACTCCATCAACTTCGCAAAGATGTCCTTCAGGAGCACATTGACTATAGGAAAGCCGGACGGGTGAGTCAGATGGAATCACAGCTATCCTGCAGCATCTCCATTAGGTATTTGAGTGTCAGCTTGGCTCAGGGGGTAACATTCTTGGCTGTAGATCCGGAGGTTGTGGCTTCAATTTCTGCGATGGGGAGTTTGAGCCCATAGTCCAGGTTGCGGCTATAATGCAACATTGGATGAGCACTGTTTTGTTAGAGGTGCCGTCCATGAGATGCCTCGGTAAACTCAGGTTTCGTCTGTTTCTGGACAGGTGGATGTTAAAGATCCCGTGGAGCTGTTTGGAAAGAGAAGGGAGTTTGTCTCTCCCGGGGTCCTGGCCAACAATCCCCCAAATAAAATTGATCCCTCACTCCATGGCTGTTTGTGGGACATTGCTGCTTGCAAATTGGCTGCTACTCCCTCCTGCACCCGCTGGCTCGGGGTCAGACTCCGCCAATGTCAAGCGCTCCGGGACGCTATCCCCCATGAAGGGCACAATATTGTTGTTGTTGTTCTCCTCCAGGTGGTTCAGGACTTCATCGCTCTGGAATGTCAGGATCGCAAGAAGCTGAAAGCATGCTTGGCTCGAAGCTCCGTTGAGGTAAGAAGGCTGGTCTCTCCACACAGAGGTCTGAGCTGGGAAACAGGACCAATAGATCTGCCGTCCTCTAATACACTGGCAGAACAGGCTCATTGGGCTGAATGGCCTCCTTCCTTCTCCTCTTTCAGAAGCAAACTCGATGGACTTATTTTAGGAAATGATATCACACTATACAGTTTGGGACATGACATGTCCATGCGAATTGGATGGACCTTGGTCTTCTTTCGTCTTGCAATTCTTACGTTCTTATGTTTCCTGTTTTTGTGTTTGATGTGACCCCCTTTGAAATGTTTCATCTGCATAGGTCGGTATCGAATGCAAGGATGCCTCTTCACACTCCCTCACTCTTGCAGTGATGTGAAGTATAATTGGCTGCTGCGTTTTGCCCACAAAATACACGGTCAATCCAATTTACGGTATATTGTGTGAAGCGCTTTGAGACGTTTGAATGCTACATCACATGGGGAGGATTATCATTATTATCTCTTCATTTAACCCTGCAATCTCTTTGCATTCCCCAGAATACCAAGGATCTGCTCAACCGCCATGTGTACAGCACCGTGAACAATTACAACATAAGCTGCTACGAGGTCAAAAAGCGAGAGAAGACCTTGCTGGACCTCATTCAAACACTGAAGTCGGTGAAAAAGGAGAGCCTTCCTGACGTGATAGAAGCCAACAACTTACAGGTATTCTGTCATCAATGATGATAATAATTTCACGTCGTTGAGACGCCTCAAAGAGTTTCACAGAATATACTGTTAAGTAGATTGACTGTGTATTTTGTGGGCAAAGTGCTGCAGCCAATTGCGTACAGCAGTGTCCCGTCGTGGATTGAGTGACCGCATTTTTTTTTACCCACACATTGTAGCAATGCCGCAACCTGTTTTCTCCTCTGCAGCTGATCCGTCAGATCGAGAATAAAATCGAGAAGATGGACACGAAAGTCCAAGTTGCTGAAAGGATACATAATATGTACCAGAACATACTGGACTGTCTGCAGGAGGTGAGTGAGCGGGGAGGAATAGAGAGAAGCCTTTCTCTGTCTCGCCTCCTCCTCTAGGACTCACAATCACCCAAACTTTTGCTTCAGTTCCACCCTCTAAACCCCACCGCTTCCCCGCCTTTACCCTCCTTGCTCACACCCTTGCTTTTGTGTCAGGAGGTTGTTAGTTCAAGCCCCACGTCCCCATGTCTTGCTGTTCACTTTGGGTTTCAGCCTAAACCAGTGATAGAGCACGGAAACACGTCATTCGGCCCAACTAGTCTACGCTGATGTTTGGAGGCCACATAGTAGATTCCCCTCTCTCTATTCCCTTCTCCCTCATAAGGACATAAGAATTTGCTGGCAAAAGAAGAATAAGGTCCATCTAGTTCACCTTCCACCCTCCTGGCAGTCGCTTGATGTGTTGTGTTCCAAACTATACATTGTATAAACGTAATGCACCTCATTTCCTCTTAATTGGGGCCCGTTCCGTGATTGTTTTTGTACGGCTGCTAGGAATCCGTGCACATCCCTCAGAGGATCGATGACTTTGACAGTATCGTTGAGGCGCACAAGCGAGAGCTGGAAGCTCTGGCTCTGGTGTCCAAGAACGCTGCAGAAGCTCGGAAGAACATGTGGGTAAGGACAAAAGGTGCTCCAGCGCCTTGTGCAATGACTTTCGATTTTACTAGCAACAACTACTTGCATTTACATAGGTTGAATCAAAAGTCCTTACTCATGGGTTTATAATAATAATATTAATAATAATAATTATCCTTGCATTGGATATAGCTCCTTATCAACCTGTTGAGATGTCTCAAAGTGCTTTACGGAATATATTGCAAACAATTACACACAAACAGTCGTGGATTGAGGATATATTTTTTTATTTCTTTTATTTTTTTTAAGGGATTATTATCCCCGGAAAGCAATCCATCAATCCACTCACAACTGGGTTCCTACTGACTGCTATATATGAGATGTTCAAACTGCATGCCGTGTAGAAACAGCTGCACACTGTCTACCAATGTTGTCTTCAAAAAAATAACATAATTAAAAACTTAATGAGTAAGGACTTCAGATTCACTGTATAGTGCCCTTCACATTGGATCATATCTTGGAGCGTTTTACAGAGAGGGATTGGATACTGCGCAAAGGAGATGGGGGGTTAGTGGGAGGTGGTCATAGTAATTAGTGTAGAATAAGAGTTGAGGCAGGAATGAAAGAAAAAAAAGAGGGAGGCAAAAGGGAGCAAGTTGCAGAGGTTAGGGGCGAAGGAACTGAGGGCTTGGTCAACGACGGTGAGATGGAGTGGGCAGGGGATGAGCAGCAAGTCTGGGTTAGCAGAGGAGCAGGGCAGGAGGACGTATTTCCACTATGATTAAATTTTAATTTTGTTGCCTTGAGATCGAGCTGGACGTTCTGGAGAAGTCGTACGTTGTGGAAAAGAAGAAGAGGGAAACAATACTAATCAACAAGAGGAAAATACTCAACCTGGAGAGATACGCAATGAAGCATGTAAGGCCAGCCACATGTTACGTACTTACTCTGAGGGGTAAAGAAGTCTGATTTAAAAAAAATCGTGCGGTTGCAATTCTAAGCATCGGCTCTAGAGGACACCATAAATTCAGGCCGTCTCCAAAGACTTGACAGTAAGCGGTTAGCACTACAGATGGGTAGATACACAAGGACTGATTCCAGCTGAACGTGTACGTGAATCTGCCCTGAAATTACATTTATAGTTTACACACAGCAAGAAATGGACAAAAAGTGTCCGTTGGAGGAAAGATCTGAGATCACTGGCCCATCGTATTTCCTGAGCATTCAGGATTTCGCTCCACAACTGTTTGTGGGGACGCTGCTGTGCGCAATTGGCTGCTGTGTTTTGCCCACAAACTATACAGTCAATTCACTTTACAGTATCTTCTATGAAGCGCTTTGAGACTTCTCGAGACGTGATAAGGCGCTACATCAAAAGCCAGGATTATTATTATTATTACCCGCACCTGCAGTATGTTCGTTTTGCTAAACCAGTTGCCAATGGACGCTGATTTGTATATTTCACCCACAAACATACGCACAGTCACATTACTTTACAGCATATCCTGTGAAGCACTTTCAGACGTGTCGAACACAATGTGCTAAGGTCACGTTTTTTTTAATCAACGTTTTTTTGAATATCTTTTTGACTTGATGTAAAATGTGAGGATTATTAATACAGGAAACTTCTGATTACAACCACAACAAAATTACATTTGTCTAGCGCCATTCACGTCAGGAGGATGTTCCAAAGTGCTGGACAATCAGTGTTTCAGACCCGAGCTGGGGATTGGGGATCGGAGAGGGTGGGGGGCAGGGGGTGGGGGGAAAGAAGGGTGATCGAAGGCACGGTCGAAGAGGAGGGTCTTGAGACGGGACTGGAAGGAGGCAATGGAGGGGATGAGGTGGAGGGACTGCGGGATGGAGTTCCAGAGGGTGGAGGCAGAGTAGCTGAAGGCCTGCCCATTAATGGCGGGGCAGGCGAGGCGGAGGATCTCTGGGTAAAGGAAAAAATCCCGGCATGCGTCCTGCAATTGCCCCTTGCAACACGCTCTATGTGTAGAAGCCAGGCTATTGCCATGTGATACACCTGTTAGTAATCAAATATTTTTGTTATTTCAGATTGACGTTTCTTCCCTTCGAACCAGTACCGGTCATTCAGGCAACAGCAGCCCTAAATCACCAAAGTCTGCCTCTCAAGGTAACTGGGCGCTGTAAAATACACACAGAGATATCAACTGGGAGGGATACACTGTGCTGGTGGTAGGAGAAGGTTTGAGGGTTTCAAACTTTTTTTCATATAAATAAGTTACTGCCAGTTGGGCCGTTTATGTAGTTTTTCACCTTTTTGTCTTTTCTTTTCCCCCAAAATTATTTTATTCCGCTTTTGGGTCAGCCTGACGCAGTGGTAGCACTCTCGCCTGTTGGTCGATTGGCAGATGGCTTTCCAGGATTAACTAGCAATCCTTTCAAAAAGAATTAATGCATATTAAAAAAGAAATACATAATAATTTGGTCACTCAATCCATGACTGTTTGAGGGACGCCGCTGTGCGCAATCGGCTGCCGTGTTTCGCCCACAAATTATACACTCAATTCACTTTACAGTGTATTCTTTGAGGTACCTCAAACAAGGTGATAAGGCGCTATATCAAATGCAAGGAGTATTGTTATTATTATTATTACCTTTATTCAAACTTGTGTCATTGTACAGATCAGGTTGTAAAGCCGCGGGACAATCATCAAGTTTACATATTGCAGGAAATCAACAAGGCGATGGAACAGCTGAACTGCTCAAAGATAGAGGTAAACGTTTCTTATTTTGGTCGGCCAGGTGCCTGACACACGTAGAGAACCATTGCGGGTTCCAGCAAACTTGCGCACGGGAATTTCCATGACGTGTCTCCCAGTCCAGTGTGTTCCCAGGTGAGGCGTACTCCAGTTCAGTCGATAGATTTTTGTTAGGTAAGGATAGCAGGGGATAATGAGCAAAGGTGGGTAAATGGAGTTGAAGTACAGATCAACCCATGATCTGATGCAGTAAAACTCGCCTAAGTCTGATCTCTATATTCTATGCAAGTTTGATACAATTCACACTATGCATAAGACGTATTAAACATATGGTCCCGACTGATACGACTTGTGTGAGGTTTACTGTAGAATGACGACACAGGCTCGAGGGGCTGAAAGTGCCACTGTGTGCCCCAGGCCAGCGTGTTCTTGGGAGCACAGCCGTGTTATTGTAACTGGAAAGTTCTGATCCCATTTCCTGCGGTGTGTGTGTATTGTAACCAGGACATTCAGAAGAGGATCCAAGCGCAGTACAGCACCAGCGAGTACCTGAAATGGAAGATCATGCAACAGAAACGCAAGCGCAAGGAGCTGAAAGTCAACTTTGAAAAGCTTCTGCTGAGACACGCCGAGCTCAAATTTGACTCCGATGCCAACACGACCAGGTATAAGATAAATAATGTCTCTGAACTCACTCAGGCGTGAGGCCTAAAGCCGTTCAGTATCGCCCGGCGGGATCCTTTGGTTAAAGATTATGCCGAGACGTGGAGAATTCTTCAATCCAGTCTCCATTTGGAAGCTGTTCTCCTGCTATTATTACAGTAATACTAATCCTTGCTTTTGATATAGCGCTTCATCACATCGTTTGAGATGTCGCAAAGCGATTCGTAGAAAAGATGGCAAATGGCGTGTTTGGTGGGTGAAACGTGGCAGCCAATTGCGCACAGCAGTGTTCCGCAAACTGTCAATTCACTTTACAGTACATCCTGTGAAGCGCTTTGAGACATCTCAACACCGTGATAAGGTGCCCTATCAAATGCAAGGATTATTATTATTATTTATTATTATTACCTGCTCCCTGGCTGTCGTCTTTGCCCACCAAATACACAGTCACACACTTACATAAATGGTTATTGCACTATTGTTTGGTTAGTCTTCCAGAGATGGCCATTATTAACAATGATGAATTATTATATTATTGTTGTTAGTCTTCTACAGATAAAGAAGGAAGCCATGGACCAGGTACAGAAAAAAAAAGATAAATTGAATCTGGAAATGTCCAGGATGTTGGTGAACAGACAGCTGCTTCTCGACATTCAGAATGGGATCGACAACCTGTACTTCATTCTGTACAGCATCGACCTCAATGTCGAGGTATGGCCAAACACAGGCAGTGCCTCACACACACACAGAGGCAGTGTCTCACACACACACACACACACACCCACACACACAGGCAATGTCACACACACACAACAATAACAACAACAACTTGCATTTATATAGCGCCTCTCACGCAGAGTAGTGTCCCAGAGTGCTTGAAATGTGTGCGAGACACGGACACAAACACAGTCAGTGTTACACACAGTCACTGTTACACACAGTCAGTGTAAAACACACAATAGGCACACAATCACGTTAAGCAGCGAGAGGAGACTGTATCACCCCTCTCCCCGCCCCCCCCCCCACCCCACACACACACCGAGCAATCAAAGTAAAGCGGACAACCTGACCTCACTCTGTCCATATAGTCCTGAAGGGGCAGCGAGCTGAAGTTTTAATCAGATGAATTGGGAAGAGATTGCCTTGAGGAATCTCACAGTGATTCTGTCTGTTGCACCAGGCGCCGATCATCATACCCCAGGATCCCGAGGAAAAACTGCAAATTTGCGAAAAGAAATTGCTTCACCTGATCGAGATGACTGCAGATTTCAAACGCTCCAATTGGATTGAAAGTGATTACGACAAGGTACGCTCGTTCTGATATGATTTATGACAAGACCCACTTCTTCCCCCCCCCCCATCCCAGTGCGATTTCATAAAGATACGTGGAGCCTTTTTCCCAGTTTATCCTGATCTACATCCCTCTCCTCATCCCGAATCTTTTCTCGAAGTCATCTACCTTATCGATGTTTATGGAATACGGATTTAGCTGCCACATTTACCGATATAACATTCGCTTCATTTCCACTGAGTGTTATTCGGAGACTTCAGTGAAGTATGGCATTGCCGGAGGTGCTGACCTTCGGATGAGCCACGAAATTGAGGTCTCGTCTGTGTCTGTTCAGGTGGACGTTAAAGATGCCACTGCGTTAGTCAGAAAGAGAAAGGAGTTTCTCTCACCCGGCCAACAATCCCCCAAATAAAATTGGTCATTCGCTCCAAGGCTGTTTGTGGGACATTGCTGTGCACAAATTGGCTGCATATTTACCTACAGAATACAGTCACTACACTTTACCTTAAATCCGGTGAAGTACTTTAAGGCATCTTCCCATTGTGAAAGGCGCTACAACAAATTCTAGGATTATTATTGTTACCGAATAACTCTGAGATCGACCCTTGAAGTTAAACTTCCGCTTGTCCTGTTTTGACATGTTTAGCTAAAGGAGTACCTCGAGACTTCATTTGGTCAACATCCACGCAACAAAAACGTGGTCTTCGAATCAGAAGTTACAGAATATCAGGGTAAGTGCTCGTGCTCTCACTGAAATGTCAACGACACAATCACAGCCTGGCTCAGTCGCCCCCGAGTCAGAAGGTTGTGGGTTCGAGCCCCATGTCACAGACCTCGAGCTCACAGTCTAGGTGGACGCTCCAATGGAGTGCTGAGGGCTGCTCTGCACTGTTACAGGTGCCGTCCTTTGGATCAGGGTGCCTGACTGCCCCTTCAGATGAACGTTAAAAAATTCTGTGGCGATATTAAAAAAAAGGGAGTTTCTCCTGGGGTGAGGAGGGAGAAATAATACTTCCAACTTCCTGCACCCAGGAAGTGATGACCTGGAAGTGCTGATCAATGGCCGTTTTTCTGGGTGCCCCTTTATAACAATGGGTGGTGCTCTGCATTTATGGTCCCAAACCACTAGGCTATAACATTGTCCTGTAGAAGTGCACGACAACACCTCGCGATGGCCTGGTTGACTGTCCCTCCTGTGTGTTTTCTTTTTTTAACCAGAAGAATTAGACTTCATGAGCGCTCAGAATGAAGGGGTGATTACGAGAGAAGACGTTAAAAGACGTAGCGAGCGCTTAGTTCAAGACAAGACGCGAGTGGTGAGGCGAACGAAAAAGATGGGCCGCAAGCGATACCTTGGTAAAAATAAAGTAAAATGTAACTTTTAGTTTGAAATTGGCTTTGACACGGCTATATATATGTGTGCCGTGCAAAATGTACCATGCCAATAAATAATCCAGTAGTTGTTAGCACAGCTGGCTTTTTCCGTGATTGTTATGGGAATAAGAGGCTGGAAAAAATAGCTTGCCTTCGCGATGTCTCAAAGCGCTTCACAGAATATTACTGTTAAAGTGAGTTGACTGTACATATTGTGAGTGAAATGCAGAAGCCAATTGTGCACAGCAGCGTCCCACAAACAGTCGTGGATTGAGTGACCACATTTTTTTCTAAAAGGGATTATTACTTCCAGAAAGCGATCCTCCAAAACAACTGGGTTCCTACTTACTGCTAAGTAAACAGAGTCACGTGGAGTAAGGAAACTTGGCAAAGGTTTTGCCCTGCCCGGGAATCGAACCCTTGCGATCTAACCATTACGCTACAGGACTTCGATTGTTATTTGATTGTTTCTGATGTTCATTATTATAATCAACTCAGTTTGTTGATGGAGCTCTTACATACTTGCTCTGCTGGTAATCCTGCCAGAAGGAATTTGCTTCGCCAGCATTTTGCTTGGGGTGTTAAGCCTTTAAGTGACTCGAGATCAGAAGCTCAGATGAGTGCAGTTAAATCAATGAACAGCAATACAAGGAAAATATTGTCAGCACTATCCCAATTATACATATGAGCTGAGCTGGACACAGTCACACACAGTGAGCCCTGGTACAGGATTTCCTTTTGTTTTTCATGTTGTACAGATGGACTTTCCTTCTGAAATTCACCTGATCAGCAAAGTCACAGCCAGGGGTGGAATGTGACAGATGTGACTATACTTTTGTTAAATGGGAATGTGCGGATTCATGATCTTTAAGCAGTTGAGTTTGAAAGAAAGGTGCAGAAATTACTTGACTTTGTAATGGCAAAAATATAATATATTACATATATATATCCAGGGCAAAAAGTTAGACGTGTTTCCTTACTTCGCACGCTTTTGTTTACCGAGCAGTAAATAGAAACCCAGTTGTTAGTCGGATCACTTTCTAGGAGAAATAATCCCTTCAAAATATATTTGAAAATATTTGGTCACTCAACCCATGATTGTTTGCGGGACTGCTGTGCGGAATTGCCTGCTGCATTTCGCCCACAAAATATACAGTCAATTCACTTTATAGTATATTCTGTGAAGCTTTTTGAAGCGCCTCAACGAAGTGATAAGGCGCTATATCAAATGCAAGGATTATTATTAATATATATATGGAGAGAAAGTGATAGAAAGTCATAAATTGATAGGTAGAGATAAAGTGATAGAGAAAAAGAGATCGGTATAAGAGCAAATTGTAGAAAGACATAGAGAGAAAGTTCGAGAGAAAACTGGAGAGACTCATGAAGAGATGGAGAGAAAGATAGAGTGGTAGAGAAAGAAAAGGGCTGAGAGAGTCGCAGTGAAAAGGGCTGGAACATACTTGGACAACAAAGAAAGTCTAATCCCTGATGGAAAATTTGTTTAGATACAACCGTGGTCAGTTTTGTGTGATGTTCAATTATCCGCACTACTTGCTTATTGGGGGGGCCGGTCCCAATCAGTGCAGATAGCAACAACAACAATAACTTGCATTTACACAGCGCTCTTCACATAAGGCAGTGCCTCAGAGTGCTGACAATTAGCTCTCTATGCCACATAATTTAGGATGAACGAGGTGTCACAGGTCAGGAGATGAAACGTTCAACCCTTTTCTCCCCAAGAAATATCAAGGCATGATTCAGTGTAACTAATCCACTTTTATTCACTAGGATCATACAACTAAAGATCAAATCACACAACATTTAACTGAGTGCACAGAAGCGAAGCACTCATGTCCAGTGGTTAAGTACATAGCATCAATAATCACCTCTCCGCACTTGTTGTCTTAAGGGTTAAATGCGAGGGTTTGAACAGTATCAGATGAGCTATCATCAGATCAACAACAGTGCGGTGTCCCGAGAGCACTGAACCACGTCATTGCGTTTGCAACCTCTGTTTCCCTTGCTACCTCTGTAATCTCTCCTTTAAAATTCTCCCTCTGCTCTTTTTAGCTTACACGATACTCTCTGGAATTAGGTAAACAGGTTAGATTGCCTCCGGGGAGAGAGAGTGCATTCCATTCCAGACACGGGAATATTCCATGTGTCCGTGGAAATGTTTGGATGTCTGTCTGTTTTTTGCATACTTGACCAGGTTTCTCAGAAAACCGGTTGGCCAACAACAAGAGCTCTAATCTGCAAGGTGGGGTGAAAATCTCCTTTCCTCAATAAATTAAGTGAATAATAACAGTTTGCACAGCCTTTCGTGGGAATAATTGACTCAAAGCAGCTTGGCAGAGACGGAAGGCGAGGAAAGGAGTTGATCGAAGGGGCAGTGAAAGAGGAAAGGGTTTTGAAAGCAGAGCGGGGGTGTCAGGAGGCGAATAGCTTTAGTTCCAGAATAGCTCACCTATCATAACAAGGGAATCACTGAGCCTCCAGACAGGTTAACAGGGCAATCAAACATTGGTAGATTATAGCTTGGCTCTCAACCTTATACTCTGCCATTTCAGTGGTTTACCATTTAAGAATTTTACCACCGCTCTGAGCCATCTTAACGTTTAAGACAAAACGGTCTCAGAGGTTAAGACCAGGTGGAATTTCAGTATTTGAAATAAATTTGTATTTAAAATATTATAAGAGGTAGTAACAAAGTGAGATTTTTTTGTGCGTTACAGCTCATAAAAGCACGTCTCATTTTTCCTCGTGTGAAAATAAAGCCAAATTTTGTACATTGTTACCTGGTTTATGTGGAAGAGAGCCATTTGTACAGAGCCAAGGTATGATTCCTTTATATGATACAACAAGTTCCAACAGGAGCCAGGAAAGATAGTCAACTGAAGCAACGCATTAGGTATGTGGGGTGCATACTTGCTCTAAGCTAAAGGACCTTAACCAGTCGGTACATGTGTAGTCCTGTAGCTCAGTGGTTAGAGCACTCGCTTTGCAAGCGAGAGACCTGAGTTCAATTCCAGGCAGAGGGCGAAACCTTGGGCAAGTTTCCTTACTCCACACAGAGCCTAATAATAATCCCTCCAAAACCAAAAACAATAATAAAATTGGTCATTTTCAATCCACGACTGTTTGTGGGACATTGCTGTGCGCAATTGGCCGCCGCGTTCACCCACAAATATACAGTCAATTCACTTTACAGTGTGTTCTGTGAAGCTCTTTGGGACGTCCTCCCGACGTGAAAAGCGCTATATCAAATGCAAGGATTATTATTATTATATGGGTGGCTCATAAGTTATTGGGAGCAACGTAAGGGGAAAAACCTCAGGTGCTTCTAATAGCACTGAGTCGGTCGTGTGGTTCAGTGGTGTTGGTGGCAGATGCAGGCAGAGTAAATTAAAGGAAGATATGATCTGTGTTAACGTGAGAGGACCCAGGCGACGTATAACCTTAGGTAAGTTTCCTTACTCCACAACCCTTTGTTTATCTAGCAGTAAGTAGGAACCTGTTTATTAGTCGACTGGTGGATCATTTTCTGAGGCTAATAATTCCTCTTAAAGAATAATAATTTGGTCACTCAATCTACGACTGTTTGTTGGACATTGCTGTGCGTAATTGTGCTGCCGTGTGCACCTTCAAATACACAGTCACTTCATTCAACAGCAAATCCTTTGAAGCACTTCGGGACGTCCTTCCGATGTGACGAGGCACTATACCAAATGTAAGGATTATTGTTGTTATTATAAGCCCTTTGAGACGTCTGAACGATGTGATAAGGCGCTACATCAAACGTAAGGGTTATTATTATTAGTGGCTGGAAGGTAGCAGCTATAAGGATGCTACGGATTCTTGAACCAGGAGGTCGGGGGCTAGTGTCCGGGTGACCTGCAAGGGGTGATTATCGGTGTCATAGTTACACAGCTGCTGCACCACGGTGCAGTGGTAATTCCACAGAAACAGGGTGACTGCCATGATGATGAAGAGCGTAGCGCACAGAGTGATGGCCAGCTTGTTGAAAGGGTGCCCTCTCTGAGCCACGTGACAGGGAGGAGGCCCCTCCATCATGGGTTTGTACTGACGGGCCGCTGGCAGGCTCAGGCGGCTGAGGTCTTCGATCCAGCAGCAATGAGGAAGAGGAGGCGCGGAGGTGCCTTTACCGTGTTGGTTCAGGGTGAGCTCTGATGGAGGCTGTGTGTCGCTCTGAGAATTTGCTTCTCCCAGTACAGCACAGAACATGGTGCTCTGTTTCCCGTCCAAAGGGATAACTTTTTGCATCACCTTTTTTTCCACACCTACATCAATAGAGGAAAGCAATGAGGGCAGAGAAAGTCCAGCCAAGTTTAGGGCAAACCTATATATTACAGTTTTGTGACTCATTTAAGTACACGCGCACACACACACACGTACACACTACCTTCAAGCATATATTCATTTGATTTAGAAATCCAGCCCAACACGTCCTCAGTGCATCAGTCCCCGATGCTCTTATCGTCTAAACTGACAACGGAAAACAGTTCTAGTGGAGCGTTGCATTGGTGGAGACATTGTCCTTTCAGATGACATGTTAAACCGAGGTCCCATCTGCCTGTTCAAGTGGACGTTAAAGATCCCACAGCACTATTTGAAAAGTGAAGGGCGTTTCTCTCTCTCCCGGTGTCCTGGCCAAAAATCCTTTACAGATAAAAATGGTTACTCACTCCATGGCTGTTTTGTAGGATGTTGCACGCAAATTAGTTGCTGCTTTTGCCTACAAATTTACAGTCACTGCCCATTACAGTATATCCTGTGAAACACCGTGGGGCATCCTCCCGATGTGGACGGCGCTGTACCGAATGCGAGGATCATTATTATTGTACCCTAGCTGTTTTGTTCACACTCCAGTTAACCCTTTCCCGCAGTAGCTGTTTACTGTTGCAGGATTTACTCTGAAGATAGGACCTCGGTTTAGCATCTACCAAAGACAATGCAGCACTTCCCTCAGCACTGCATTAGAGCGTCAGCCTGGACTGTGAGCTCAAAGTCCCCAACGCAGGGCTTGAACTCACAACCTTCTGATCCAGAGGTGA